ATTAAATATTAGCGACATTTTTTCAAAGACAAAATGAATAGCCATATCGAGTGCATGAAGAGTGAACTGGATTTGTTTGCACCACATCCCACGCAAAGTTCCATTATAAGAACTGAAGAAGTTTCATATAACCCAATTGCTTCTTTAGACGGAGCATCATCAATAGAATTTGTCTGTTTAGGAAATGGTGAAACATATCGAGACCTATCAAGTGTTTATTTACGATAGCACCGGCATTGTAGGAAACGATGTCGGTGTAATGAACAATATCTTATACTCTATATTTAGAAGTTCCTCAGTTTATTTAAATAATATATTAGTATCGCAAAGTGATAATAATTATCATTATAGATCGTATTTGCAAACGGTTTTAAACTATGGAAGTGATGCCTCAGAAAGTCACTTAGCCTTCCAAGGATATTTCCCGAATTTTGGACGAATAACGGCAGGGAAATATGTTTATCCAGATACCAATCTAAAGCTTAAAAATTTATTTCAAAATAGTAATAAGGTGGAACTTTTCGGAAAAATCCACGGTGATATATTTAATCAACCAAAACTGCTAGTAAATAATGTTGATTTAAGAATTAATTTTAATATTGAAAAGACTGCATTTTATTTAATGGAAACTGGTACTGAGTCAAATTTAAAGATACTGGAAGCTCAACTGTTCATGAATCATATAACAGTTAACCCAAGCATTTTATTGGCTCACCATCGAGTTTTACAGACCAAAAATGCTATATACCCTTTCAATAAGGTTGAAGTAAAATCTTTCACAATATACCCAGGAAATAATAATAATATCTATAGACAATGCAGTTATTGGACAGCTACCCAATTTTCTAGCCTTTTGTATGGTTAAAAACCGTTCATACTCAGGAAACCGTGGTTTAGATCCATTTCATTTTGAACATTTTAAAATTCAACGATTTAACTTATTGGTCAATGGAGTTCAAGTTCCTTCTCAAGCTCTTGAGTTTGATTACTCGAATGGTGAAAATGTTCAGAGCTCACGGGGCTATAATATGCTATTCAGATCTAGTGGGATAAAACATTATGATCGTGGTCTGCAAATTACAAAGGAAATGTTTGACACAAACAGTTTTATATTGGCTTTTGACCTAACTGCCGATCATTCAAATTCGACTGTCTGTGCTAATTTAATAACCCAAGGAACTATACGAATCGAAGGAAGATTCTCAGAACCACTTTCTGAAGCAGTAACTTGTCTGGTGTACTGCGAATACGATTCCATGATTGATATTGATAAGCATACAAAAAACACAAGCGATTTTTAAAGGAGTTTTCCCTTTGGACCAGTTACCTAAAACTATAAAAAAGTATCCTGCTCTTATTATTGCGAACACCGATCCTTCAGACAAGACTCATTGGATTGCCTTCTATTTTGATAGCCCTAAGTCAGCAGAATTTTTTCATTCTTATGGTCAATATCCTCAGAAAAAGGAATTTATAATATTTTTAAGATCAAACGCACATAAAAATTTTTTTAATAAACAACAACTCCAAGGGTATTTTTCTAACACCTGTGGTCATTACTGTATGCTGTTCGGACTTTTTAAATGTAAAAACAAATCACTTAACTGCTTCCTGAAAAAATTCAGGAAATACGACTTTACCTATAATGATAAACAAGTACTTAAAGAAGAAAGAAAATTTTCAAGAAGTAAAATAAAAAATAGTTTTGTTATATCAGATTAGTTTATTTAATATTTCGGAGCGATACAATCTCTTATTTAACTTATAACACTTAAGCATAATATTATGGGCCTTGTCTTCTAATATCGGTAGCATATGACACTGACATGTGTCTGGTCCAGATGTAGCATCTTCATCACTCCAAGGACAAAGTTTGTAGTGGAATCCAAACTTTGAATGTATTAACTCCTTTTCCGCTAAGTCCATAAGTTCCATAAGGTGTTTTCCTTAATTTACATCCGGTGATCTTATAATCAAACCCAATACATAGATCTTCAATTTTCGTATAACCAATAACAGGTTTTGATTCATTTAGGGTCTCTAAGAAATCCTATGAGGAAAAAGTAGATTAGGAAGGATTATATACATAAAGAAGTGTTTATATACCATTTTTGATTGGTTAGAGATTGGAGTCGTGGTGTTCTAGTCACTAGTCGTTGAATACTAATTTGTTACATGAATTACATGGTCCTTTATACATGAAAGAATATTCCTATTTCACTCTTTCATGTACACATTATATATATATATATATGTATATATTATATATACAGGTGTACAACATAGTTAAAGTATATAATATACAAAATTTCATTTTAAACCCTTTAAAATAGATGTATTTTTTATAAAACAAACTCAGTTCAGTTTCACATCAAAATGGGCAAGTTTCATTGTGAGTTATGCTCAGAATCAAAATCTTTTACTACGCGCATCAGTCTAAAAGTTTATACCTTAAAAGTACAGAACTTTAGCTATACAAAATCAAAGTCCTTTTGTTACTACTGTTATTTATGTACTGATGTTCGGAAATTTTGGCTGCGAGACGATTTTAATATGCACATGATATTGATGCACGAAGCTGAATTAAAAAGTATAAATAAAACGAAAGAGAAATATCTAATAAAGAACAAGAACTTTAAATATTGAATTTATATAACGTGTTTTTATTTCAAAATGTTGTAAGACAAATATACAAATATTAGGAATCTAATCTTAAGAGAACATCCATTAAAACACTATCCTGTCCGTCATCCATAAGTTGTTGATATTTTGTCAATGGTTCATTTTCAATTATCTCATTAAAAATGTGATCATCATTTGGAAACAGGCTAAGCTCAGACTCATCCAAATCAAACGTTTGAGCACACAGTCCACGCACAAGCAGACCTGAGTGCACACTTCAGGGTAGGGGTGAGTTCTCAGGTGACTCATCCAAGAGATAGTAAAGGGTCAAAAAAAGGGTTAAAATTTTAAAATCAAGTCACCCAAATGTAAAACTGATGTATTATAATCAGCCTATGTCCTATGTTCTAGCTACTCAAGAGGAAACGCTATAGTCGAGTCCCGCGACTATAAGATACCCGTTACTGTATTCCACAATTTTAAAATATTAATTTTGCTAGTGGAAATTCACAAGGCCCCACCTGTTGTCAGAGGAAGCATGTTGAGTATGCTTATAGTGACGTCACTGCCCATGTGAGGCCTTATAACCTTAATTTCATTATAAATGGCGAAATAATGTTCCGATTTGAAAAATCTTTGGCAAATCGATAGATATAAACAGAAATAAGTTATACAACGTCAAACGAAGGCATTCATAATATTATTATAGACGCCACAGTGTTCCGCGGTTTGTGGGCGTTAGAGTGGGCGTGGGCGAATGCAACTTCGTGGCAAGAGAGGCATCTCTTAAATACGTATTCTTAGCAAAATTTTGTATCTCTTATAGTTCCCGCATTTTTGGTTTTTGGGTTTTGTGGACGTTAGGGTGGGCGTGACCATCATAAAAATCGACATGCTTAATCCGAACTTTCTATCACTTATAGTTACCGAGATATCAGGTTTTCTTGAAAATGCGAAAACCGTCAGATAATAGTATCACTTAAAGATGCGCTGGCATCCAACGTATATACCCACTGAATTTCAACTTTCTAGCTCTAATAGTTCCCGAGATTTTAGCGATTTTAGTTTTTCGCGATTTGTGGGCGTTAGAGTGGGCGTGGCAGGATGCTGAAATAAACTTGCGCTCTCCCGGGACCTCCAGAATCTTCATGCTTAATCTCAACTTTGTATCTGCTATAGTTCCTGAGATCTCAGCGTTCATACGGACGGACGGACAGACGGACATGGCTCAATCGACTTCGCTTTTGCTTCTGATCAAGAATATATATACTTTATAGGGTCGGAAACGCTTCCTTCTATCTATTACATACTTTTCAACAAATCTTGTATACCCTTTTACTCTACGAATAACGGGTATAAAAACGAAATCTAAAGGAATTCCACTTTGAGGGTATGAAAAACTTTAAAAAGTCGTTTATATATTATATTAGAAATGCTGGATCGACACTTTTTCGGCATTTTTTTGGAATATGAGTTGACGAAAGAAAAGATGGCTATTTTAACATTCAATTCATTAACAACTTTGAAAATATTATACTTTATTTATTCCTTTTTCTTATAACTAATGCAAACTTAAAAATAAGATAACAAAGATGTTTTATATATGGTAACCTAAACATTTGTTGGTAGTTTAGTAGGCAGAAGTATTTAGACAGGAATGTAAATCTAAGAACAAACTAAAACAATACCAGAAAAAGATAAAACCTCCTAGTTATGATGCGAGCTTGATAAACCCGTTTCTAAACGGAATGAATTGGCAAAAGAAACCAAGCCACATAGTCCATTATATGACTCGTATCCCCAGAACACAACAGATCCACCTTTGGTAAAGTTTGTTTTTGTTTGCTTACAACCTCCTCCTTGCAATGATTGGCCATCAAACTCCTTTGATCCGCAGCAGGTCTTGGATGGGCGTTGTTTTGCGATTGGCACTTGATCTTTTGAAGTTGCTTATGTGTGTGAATGGTCACAGCTTTCTCTTTCGACCGTTCATTACCTAGGGCGTTAAAGTAGGCGTGATCTATCTTTTAGTGATCTTTATGAACCTATTATGGTCGAAAACGCCTTCGTCTACCAGCAATAACTTTTCAACGAGGGCTTTATACCCTTTTTCTCAATGAGCAACGGCTATAATAATATTAAGGAATATACAAAATTTGGGCAATATAATCCGTAAGCTAAAATCAATAATTAAATTTTAAAAAAATTAAGAAAGGAAATGATACAAATTATAGAAAAAGATAGCGAGACATAGTGAGGTACTTCTTGCTACATTTATTCCAACTCACGACAATAGACTTATAAACTAAAGGGATTATTATACAACAGTAGGCATACCAATTTTACATACATTTTGATTGGTTAACGTATACACATAGTTTTAATAAGACTTTACTGCATTTATTTCAAATGCTTGGCTCAGTTGAATTTTCTGAAAGAATGAAAATTTTAAAAATTATTTTTCACTTTTCTTGTTAAGGCTTATGTTTTCATATTTACAATTAGACGTTAACAAATTTAAAATTAGCCTTTAGAACCTGCTAGATAAAAAACAATAACGACTTTTAGAACTGTCTTAGGCGTGTTTACTAACTGTCTGTGACGTCAAAGCCCATAATAAACCAATAAAATTTTGTTCCACAAAACGCCTTAAAAGAACATGGGAAAAAACCTACTAAAAAACTAACTTATATTCAATATTTCCTTTGAAATCAACAAGGATATAAAAACGAAAATTTCTACAAAAACAGCTTCATTTAATTAGCATACAATCAATGAGAACAAGGCAGTAATTTTTTTTAAATAAATAGTCAACTCTACTAATTTTAAAAGCCAATCTAACAACTTAATAATTTTGAATTTGGTTGAGCTTAGGGATTAAAGCGAATGTGGTCCCATTCAACACTGCCACTCGATCAACGACTTCTTTCTGCACTTACTCTGCATATTTCCTGCCTGCGATTGCAACACCGCACAGTTGCTATCGTCTAGATTCGGGGACTGGCTCTCCGGAAGACGCGGTAATTGGGCATCGATAGTGGATCCGGATTCGCTTCCACGCCGGTCAAAGCTCGGTGTCATCCCTGTTGACATCATCTGCCGGCCACCAATTTGCGCGTCATTGCTATCCGCCACGTCTGGTTGATTTGAGGCGGTCAGCGTCATCGAGGAGACTGCTGGCAAGGTGCTTTTGGCGAAGCCCCTTGGCGGAGATCCTGTCGGCGTCTTAAATATCTGTGCCAAGATCATGTCCTGCAAGAAGCTATCTAGCTTCCGCAGCGAAAGGGCGTTGTGCAGCGTCTCTAGCGGTCGAATAGGTGGTACGTCGCCAAATCCTGGAGGATATAGTTCTTATTATCAGGCACAGAATAAATTGAATAAATGTTTTAGAAGGAATAAAAATTGATTTCTTTTAGTAGTGGACGATAATCTAATCGATTAACTTTGGTTTTCTGAAACTAGCTTTTATTCTCTCTTCTTGGGAAGTGTTTCTATTACGCATCCTATTATTTTTAATCTGACTTAAACATTACAGCAAGGGGTCTATTCGATTCTAAACATTCTCTTATGACATTACGGGTAACTGCATAATAATAAGCCTTCGATTAAATAATATAAGTAATAATCTGATCTGAGAATTTCATGAATATTTAATTAAATACAAAAATGTGAGTTTCCAACGAGTGACATTTAAACTGTGATATCAGGGTTAGAATGTCAGATATTGCAATTTACATAGGTTTTTTAAATAATAATTAATTTAAATAATAAATTAAGATTTACATTATATGGCAGCTTCGACGATATTAAAGAGCGACTGTCTCAAGATATGTCCTACGTTCGCGTTTAAATTTCAATAAAAAAAGGCAGCTTCATACGGCAATCAGTAAGTTAAGGCATCAGGAAAGTCTTATTTATTAAAATTAAAAACAACAAAACATTTCATATAGATTTCCGCATGAGATAAAAATATTTATGCATTTAGTACAAAAACAACTTGATATTCGACAAAGGTATAGATTAAGATCCCAGCTTTACTCAATGACATTGGGAGCAGTCAGGACGAACTTTGCTAAGCGCCATTGCAATTAATGTTTATTTACACTTGATTTCGTTAAAAAAACTAACTTATTAAATGCCCAAATTGTTGAATAACTAAGGATAATGATAGAACGATTAACTGAAATTAAATTCCTAATTAATAAGCTTAACATTTTATTTACAAAAGCGAAAAACCACCTAAACAGGCTGGTTATTTCATGTTTTGCTTAATTATACTCGTATTTGCTGCCGAATTAATTACATATTCGATTAATTGACTTATACTTGGATTTCAGTATGAATAACCAACTTGCTTGGTTTTGATTTGATTTTTTTTTTTTTTTTTGTAATAGGCTTCGGGCTCAATCGCTTGCAACCAGTGGATAGCGTTTTCATGGTTGCTCATTAATGGTGTAGCCAAGAACTAGTCATACTGAAGTATATACTAGCCATGTTTGTAAAGAAATAATACTCACCGGATGAGGAGACCGGTATCATGTCGCGAAGATTAGGAGCGGATGAGCTTCCGCTGATGACGGCGGTGCTGAAAAGGCTATTTGCGCTGGTTGCCATCTTTTTGCTAAAACCACCGAAACCCAACATTTTCATATAGGACATCTGGCCGGCAATACTGTGTCTTTGGCGACGGGACGACGTGGACGAGTTGGCCGATGACACCGAGGCCGAAACCGATACCGAGACTTGGCTATCTGTGGCGATGGTATTGGTACAACAAGACGGGGTCGTGGTAGAGGCATTTGTATTTATGACGGTGGTGGTGTTTTTGTTAAGTGTATTATTGATGGTGCATGATTTTTGTTGTGGACGATCGTTAATCGTCGTTGTGTTTTGATGGTGGCAATGTTTGTGGTGACGTTTATGATATTGGTGTGGTGCGTCGTTTGAGGTGGGATCAATCGATGTGAATTGGTTAGTAAATGGTTTATTAGAAGACATTGTTGCTGTATTATCAAACAAAGCTGCTGCTGCTGCTGTTGTTGAGGTGGTTGTGGATGGTATAAATGGTGGTGGGGATGCTGAGGATGCTGGAGATGTGGATTTTGGGGTGGCTGTCGGTGAAGCTGTTGGTGTACACTTACTTATACCTTTTGTGGCTGTATCTGTTGGTGTAACCGTTGGCATATCTTTTGTTTTATCTTTTTCTTTACTCGTTTCTGAGTCTAATGATATATCTGTCCTTGTGTCAGTTAAATTGTCATCTTCTATATTTGATGGTGTTCGTGTTGGTATTGCTTCCACCGTTTCTAATTCTTTATCTTTAAGCATTTCACTATTCATTGGTGCAAGCATAGCAGTAACTTCTGGAGTCCTTGTCGATATATTGCTGTTCCTAATGCTCTTCAATTGTGTGCTGCATGCTGTGCCCGTGATAAGTAACGTGGGCAGATTATATACTACTTGAGGCTCTGGCTGCGAAGGCTTTGGGCACACCTCCACTGTGGGTGTGACTTGCTCTTCGATGGGCTCAAAAGAGTTCACGAAGCCTGCGGCAGAGGATGCTATTGAGCCCACTGATGAAACAGTGAAGCGAAACGGATTTTCTGTTAAAACAGGAGCCGAGGTCGGCATGGACAACTGACCACAGGAACTACTGGTGGCTTTGCGCTGTGCAGACGATGAAGTCGAAGCTTTTTCCATGTCCTGGCAGAGACGTAAAGTGGAGGCTGTGGGGGAGGTGGTGGCGTGGACCATGGATGACAGAGCAGCCATCATAGGTCTTTGGCCAAACTGTGAGCTCATCAGGATGGCTGGCGCCGAGCTGGACAACTGAAAGTCATCATCAAAACTACTGGCACTCATATCTGCCGCTGTCGCCGGCTCGACGCATATCTCTACATCATGCCCAGTTTCTGAAGGGGATGTGGTAGCCGTCGCTTGCCCCAAGTCCATCAGACTCTTAGAGTGAGAATGCGCCTGAGCCGTCGAGCTGCTGCAGTTGCAGGAACTTAAAGGTCGCTCATTGGTGGCCATTGGAGAGATCTGCGGCAGATGCTGCAGCTGCTCGAGATCTTCTCCCTCGTCATAACTCTCCATTCGCCGCATGGTTAGCACGTGAAGGCGTTTATGCGATGACGGGCCGCATTGGGGAGTGGCTGGGAGCAGCGAGAAATCAATGTCCGACAAAGGCAGCTCGTTGGTCGACGAGTCGATTTTAAAAAAGGACAAATTATTCGTAACCCGAATCTGAAAAGCAGTGCGATGATTGGCATTTTTGGGTTGAGCTCCTCCTTCCGAGTTGCAGGCTATGCTAACTCGAGCATGGGTTATCTCTCCAAACTCAGGAGTATGTCCCTTCAAACTATCCTCAAACTGAGAAATTATACGCTGATAGGTCTCCCCAAAAACTAAAGAATCCACTAATAAACATTACATCATATTCAGTCAATAACGAATTGAAGCCGGGATGAAGTGTTTTTAGTTCGGTATGATATTGTGTTCGAGTTTCCAGTCCAAAGTTAGCCAAGTTCGTGGTGATAAATCGAGAATTGAAATGTCGGTGCATTGGTGTATGTATTGTATGTGTACAAATAGAAAACTCATTAGCCGAGATTATCAAAAAGTTGAAGATCGCGAAAAGTTCATAGAAAAATAAAGGGTCGTAAGATCACGGGGATAGAAAAAGTAAAGGAAAAACAAATTTTAAACCGAAAGGAAAACAAAAGAAACAAAAATAAAATCGGCAAGCCGAGTGGTAAATACTCTTGTTGGACCCAAAAGGTAATTAAGTGTCACCCTAAACTAAAAGAAAACAAAATAAATCTTAAAGAAAGAAAGTTTAAGGTAACAACGTGGGTATGAAATTATTTAGCCAAGGCTTAGTTTCGGCCAGTTGGTTAATGGTTTAAAAAACTTAAATTTTTCAAGAATTTATTTCTGTGTTTAGTTTAAAAAAAGATAAAATCTCTTATTTCTTTGATATGCCAAATTAACCTCTGGTAACAGCTAGTGGCAACAAGCCCAGAACCTTAGTTTACTTATGACTGAAGTTGATTCTAAAGTTCAAATAGTTCCTCGGTATTTTACAATGCACTGCTGATCTGCAATATTAAAACCTTGAAAACCCTACAAGAGCATTTAGAATATGTAATGCTGGTAAGCTTGAAAGCTGCAACGGCAAAGCCCTTTAGTAGAAGCTTTTAGTAGTTGTATCAAAATTCAGGCTTCGGAACAGTACGGGGTTTTTCGAGTCTGGTTAGGTCCATGTGTGGAAGTGGCTGTGGGTGTTTTATGTTTCAATGGGGGTGTGATAGGGCGTGAATGGATGGGAAAGAGTCTGGGTCTGCAAACAACAACAACGAGCAACGTACAAGAAATCTCCAAACCCAAGCTATTTTTGGCTTTACATGCACTGAGACAAAGACAGAGAAGGTTATTTAAGACAGAGGGAGGCAGACAAATAAGCAGATATAAAGAGAAAGAGAAAATAAGAGAAGGCAAAATAGAGGAGGGATGAAACATTGTGTGACTATAGGTACCTGAGCCCCAGCAAAGATTTTGAAAAATTCTTTTTCGAAGATAAATCGGCGGGGTAAATCTTTCCTGGTGCTCAGCTGCCTTCTGAAGGGGCGTGGCAGGTGTGCTGGGCTAGAGTGGCAGTACGTGCTTTTTGTGACTGAGACAGTGTGACCAGCATTGCCAAGTACACGGAATTCCGCGGCCAGATGCTTATAGATTTTCAGTTTTTCTCGGCAAACATTTCTGTTTGTTCTTTCGTTTCAAAAATACAGATCGAAATATATATGTATATATAACGAAATATGAATGTTTCCATGTGAAATGTTTCCTGGATGTGAGTGTCTTTTCGATCGATATACAAAAGAAAACTTGAAAGCCAAAAAATGTTGGGCACAGCTCGAAAGAGGCAGAGATGGAAATTATTTTAAACTTCTGAATAACAATGAAAATGAAATGATGAAAAATCACAACTAAATATTATTCGTTTACCATTCGAAATAGAGAGACATCTAGCTAAATGATATATAATATCTAAGCTATATATATATATATCTATTTTAAAAAGGTGTCAAATTCATAGAAATAATATTTAAGCGAGTCCTGGGATTTTGAGTAAGGGTTTTTCTTTTCTTATTTTTTTGGAGGGAGGGGGTGTTATGTGAGGGATTTTCCTGTGGTGTTAGCTGGCGGTGCAGACGAGAAACCGTGAGACGTAAACACGGAAAACAAAGGAACAAAGAAACGGCATGCAAAGAATCCCACAATATATGTTAGAGAAACCATAAAAAAAAGGTTATTCCCAATTTTAGAAGGTAACTAGAAGTGATATTTCGGGGTAACCGAAGGCTAAATAATCTGGCAGAGGGAACCGCTTGATATCTAAACATTCGTTAAAATTCCACACTGTACACTGTGCAAATTGTCATCTTCTATATTTGATGGTGTTCGTGTTGGTATTGCTTCCACCGTTTCTAATTCTTTATCTTTAAGCATTTCACTATTCATTGGTGCAAGCATAGCAGTAACTTCTGGAGTCCTTGTCGATATATTGCTGTTCCTAATGCTCTTCAATTGTGTGCTGCATGCTGTGCCCGTGATAAGTAACGTGGGCAGATTATATACTACTTGAGGCTCTGGCTGCGAAGGTTTTGGGCACACCTCCACTATGGGTGTGACTTGCTCTTCGATGGGCTCAAAAGAGTTCACAAAACCCGCGGCAGAGGACGCTATTGAGCCCACTGATGAAACAGTGAAGCGAAACGGATTTTCTGTTAAAACAGGAGCCGAGGTCGGAATGGACTCACTGGCATGGTCCACAGTGTACCCTGTGCAATTAGGTCTTTGTAAATACCCTTTACTCAACCGATGTAAACTCAACGCCGTGTACAATCTTGACTCTTAAAGTTACAAAAACTTCATACGGACAGAACTACAATAGGAAGAAACTGATCTAAAAAATTGCTACTTAAAATTGCTACCTTATAGACTTGAGAATTATTCTACCTGGTACGTACTTTTTAAGGAACACAATATACCCTTTCACTTTACGAGTATCAAGTATAAAAATAGCTTCCATTTCCCTTCTCTGCCAAATCACACATTAATGTTTAATAAAGGAAAACCTAACCGCTTCAGTGCAAATTAGTCTAAAATTGGGATAGCCAATCGAGATGTGATATGTGTTTGACAAAAGAAGATCACGGATTTTCTTTAGATAGCTATATGAAAGGTGGGTGGTGAAAATCTCACCCTTAGGAAAAGGCGGTTGCTAAGGCGGCGGCGGCAAGCTTTGCTCGATTGGCCGTCAGGCCCTGCCCTAACATACATACCCGGCTCCTTGGCACATACACCAGAGGAGGCACGCTGCTCAAAGCTCCGGGATCGTGGCTCACAGTCAGGACTCACTGCCCGGATATCCGGGCTGATGGGCCGGAGCTGCTGGTTTTGCTGTTGCTGCTGCGACGCAAGCTCCTCATTCAACCGCTTGGCTAGATCCATTGCCTCATGACCACTAACAGTGTGATGAGCTCCGATGGGGATGGGCTTCGATTTCAACTGCTTGGATCTTAGCTCCAACCGGTTAAATCCAAAGGCGGAGGAAGTGCGCTCAGCACTGCGGTCGGAGCTCCTTTGGCAAGTAGACTGCGAAATAGCAAAATTCCATTCGATTTAGTACTATTACATAGTTGTGGTACATAGTAATAATATAAAATATTAAACTATTAAAATTAACAATTTTGTAATATTTTTATTTTCTGTCATAATCATTACAGTAACCTCTTGGTAGATGTCAAAGGATGTTGATGTGCCACTTTTTTTTAAGAAGCCGAAAAGTCGAAAGTAAAAATAATTTAAAGAATATGCTTTAATGATTGTTATTATTTTATACTTTGAAAAAGAAAATGAAAGATAAATTTGGGCAACTGATAAGAAAGTTTGATCAGACTGCGAGAGCGAACATCAAAATGACAAGGTTTCTGCGTACAATACAAAGAAAATACAAAGAAACCCAAAAACATGTATTTTTTAAAACAAACCAGACAAACCAAGGTTATAGAAGATTAAAATCTTTAAAATTTTAACCTTTTTCGTCTCCAACTCGAATATGACCTAATAAAGTTCCTTATTCAGCTCGTAGAGTAACAGGTATGTAAAAGGTAGAAGGAAGTCTTTTCGAACGTATAAAGTACATATATATTCTTGATCAGGATCAATAGACAAGTCGATTAAGCCATGTGCGTCTGTCCGTAAAACCGCTGAGTTCTCAGGAATTATAAGAGAGTTGGGACTAAGCATGCAGATTCTTGATATGCCTACGGGCGGAAAACAGGCTTCCATAATATTAAAATTTATGTTTTCGTTTCACCTTGTATTACATTTTTTCAATGTCTATCGACATACCAAAAATGATTCAAATATAATCATTATTTTGCTACTTATTAAGAAATGTTATACCGCTATAGCTATAGTCAAGTTCCGCGTTACCAGTGCAATTGTGCAAACAGAAATTAAGGCCGAGTATAGCTAACCCTTCTAACGCTCTACTTTTTGAAGTGAGAAACACATCTACTACTAGCCTACAAAATAGTGGATAGATATATTTTCAAAACTCACCGCTCGCTTCTTGCCCTCCTTCTCCTCTCCGGAATTCGAGTCATTCTCCTCCTCGATCCTGGCGGGGTTTAACTCATCCGAGGACTGCAAACTTACATTGCATGCATTGTCGCCGTGCGAATGCGGCCGAAAGCCTGGCCCTGGCGGCAGATTCTTTTGCACACAACAGTTTACGCCCGGACTGAAGTGCAGCTCAACATGGAAGCGTTCTTCGGATGTTGGGTCCTTTGTGGGGTCCTCGTAGAGCATGATAACAATCTGAGACATATAGTTCAGCTCCGATACCATTGAAATATAGTCCATAGCACGACGCCACTGCTCATCTGTTACAACATTAAGCAATCCCCCATAACGCAGGACTGTGAGTAACGAGTGGACATGCGATTCGCTTGTGAAGTACAGCCTTGTCCGGACATGCCGCTGAGGACTGGCCACACCATGGCTATAGTGTGGATTTAAACGGTTCATGAACTCATCTTCCACCTCGTCTATATTCCGCTGCAGATCCCCCTTGATCTTTCTCAGTAATGGTGAGCAAATACCTTGGCCAATGGCCAATTTTTCCTGGGGCGTCAATCCATACTCCTGCGGTATAACTATATCAGCTAGATTTTTTGCGTAGATATATAACTCCTCCGCCTGATCATACTGCAAGGTGTGTTGATTATGCTGCAGATCGTACTTGATGCAATCGTAGATATCTGGTATCTTAGAAATATCAAAAAGCTTTGACTTTGTGCTGAAGTCCTTCTCGATTTTCTCCCAGCGACAACGCATAAGATCCCACGTCTCACCGTGGTACAAAATCGCATCCTTAGTTTTTGGATCATCCTTCTTGATACTGATGATGTGAAGAAGTTCGCGGATGAGCAGGTGCACGTGGTGACAGCAGTCCACAGGATTCTTTACGAAGTCCAGTGCCTGCGTAATCGATTTGCTATTGCACGGGTTGATTAGTTCGCGATCCTCCCTAGTAAACTCTCTATCATTCTGCATTAGCTCGTGAAGGCGACCTTTGGCCCTGTTTCGGATAAAATTCGAATTTGTGATGCTACATTTAATGATTAGTAATGAAGTTATTTAAAATAACCGTCTTCGACTATCTCTCGTTGCGAGCGGACGTCTCTTATCTCCCAACAGCGGTTCTCGATCGGTATCTATTCTTATCGACCCACGCGGTCCAAATTTTTATCCCTCCTCACCATACTATTTTCTCGCGTTAATTTGTGAAACAGTTACTTACATAAATTACGAATAATCTTGTAAATTTAACATAGCCCCAGGGCCGCCATCAGCCCCCCATCGAAAAAAAGAAAACAACCTTAAAAACCTGGATACGGCTTTTCCCCACCTTCCTCCAACCTCATCTGACAATCCAAAATATATAATAATTCCCTCTACCAACGCCGAAAAGACGATCACCCAATTCTCATGCTTTGCCGTCCACCGTGCCTTAAAATTGATCTCCAAAAACATTGTGTAAATTTCCAACCTCCGGGACGGAAATTTGCTAATGCTAGTAAAAACCCAAGCCGATGCTGAAAAGTTTCTGAAAACTACTGAACGTACTGGTTTATGCAAAATTAAGTCGAAGCTCCATGAGGCCCTTAATTTCGTAAAAGGAACAGTTTATGCCCCTCATCTCTTCGACATTCCCGTTGAACAAATTGTCAACGAACTTAAACCACAAAAAATGACGGATGTGTACAAATTTATGAAGTCATACGATGGTGTTTCCAAGCCGAGTGGAGTCATCTTATTAACCTCTGAAATCTATAGCCTCCTATCTAAAGTTAAAATCTCCTGGCACTCCGTTAAAGTTCGCGAGTACACACCAAACCCCATGCGTTGCAAGTCGTGCCAACTGCTCGGCCACACAGCCAAGCACTGTAAAAACTCCCCTCGCTGCTCTGAATGCGCCCGTCCCCCGCATACCTCAAATAAATGCACGAAAACTAGCTGTGCCTATTGTGCTGGTAAGCACCCCGCCTCCTCCTGACTATGCCCAAAGTACCAAGAACAAAATAAAATACTAAAAATTAAAACAACAAAAAAATGCTCCATGCGCGGGGCCAAAACAATATTCAAGACAACGTCAAATTTTTCGGGTAATAACGCTTCCCACTCTTCGGTAGCTAAATTATCAAATCAACGCAGCGAAAACGCAAACCAAAACAAAACAAATGAAAAAATCAAAAATATCTCCTCCGATGAAACCCCAAACAATTCCCATTCCGTTCCCCCTTCCCCTCCCTCTCCCAACATCCCCCATTCCCCTATCCCCACAAGCTCTTATCAGTCAAACCGAACCGCTCTACCTGATCAAAACAAATATAATCTATCCCCTGCATCTTTTGCACTATTGCAACAAATTCATGCTAAACATGAAGCAAACAGTCCAACAACATATTCCAATCATAATATTTAAACTTCACATACAAATAAATCAAATACCCAAAAACATAATAATGACCTGTCTGACGATTCTATGAGTGATTCATTATTTCGTCTATCCCAGATCTCAACGCAATAATATCGAATTTTTTTCCCCGCTTATGTCCATTACACTAGTTCAATGGAACATAAATGGTTACTTCAACAATTATCACGAACTACAACTTTTGATTAACGTTACCAATCCGGATATTATTTGCCTGCAGGAAACGCATATAAAAGCTAACCTTACGAATGTCGCTTCCCCTAAGTAATTTACTACATTTTTTTTTCCAACTTAATCCCTAATGTCTATGCTAAGCAAGGTGTTACCATACTCATCCGGAAAGACATTCCTCAAAAGCCTATACCAATAAATGACAACCCAATATCTGTATTTCCAATACGTATATACTTTCATCCCAACTCGTGACAGCCAATGAAATACTCAAAATACTAGATCTTACCAGGAAACCTTTCCTTTATGTTGGAGACTTCAATGCTTGAAATCCAATGTGGGGTCATCCTCATATAACTCAAGAGGCCTCCAAATAGAAGAAGGAATTACCAAGTCAATGCTGAATATTCTTAATGATAGCTCAGCTACCCATCATTCTACCCTCAACTCCTTAACTGCTATTGACCTTACTTTAGCATCCGCATCATTGTTCCCTTTCTGTAAGTGGTCCGTAAAAGACTCTCTTTATGGAAGCGATCACTATCCTATAGTTACACACCACCTCCGAAATTTAAATTGGATAAGTCAAATTGGAATCTGTACCGCGCCGAATGCAAAGTCAGCTTAAATTTTACAGCCAAAATCATAAAAGGAATTAAAGCGAAAGCTAATGTAGCAATCCCGCAAACCAAACCCTGTCTACATCATCGAATTATTCCTTGGTGGATCTAAGGAACCAAAGATCAAGATCTGACGTCACTGCCCATGTGAAGCATTATAACCAAAATTTCTTCGTAGCGAAATAATGTTCCGATTTCAAAAATCTTTGGTAAATCGATAGATATTAACAGAAATAAGTTATACAAGGTCAAACGAAGGCATTCATAATATTATTATAGACGCCACAGTCTTCCACGGTTTGTGGGCGTTAGAGTGGGCGTGGCCGAATAAAAACTCGTGCGAACTTGCAGTGGCAACCCTAAAATACGTATTCTTAAGCCTAACTTTCTAGCTCCTTTAGTTCTCGAGATTTTTGCATTTTTGGTTTTTCGGGTTTGGTGGGTGTTAGGTTGGGCGTGGCTAGATGGAAAAAAAACAATTCACATTTGGGGCATCATCAAAATCTACATGCTTAATCCGAACTTTCTATTACTTATAGTTACCGAGATATCAGGTTTTCTTGAAAATGCGAAAACCGTCTTTTGAGCTTGGTGGGCGTATAGGTGGGTGTGGATAGTACCACTAAAAGATGCGCTGGCAACCAAAGTTTATACATTTCAATTTCACTTTCTAGCTCTAAAAGTTCCCGAGATTTTAGCGATTTTAGTTTTAGTTTTTAGTTATTTTTTAGATTTGTGGGCGTTAGAGTGGGCGTGGCAGGATGCTGAAATAAACTTGCGCTGTCCCGGGACCTCAAGAATCTTCATGCTTAATCTCAACTTTGTATCTGCTATAGTTCTTGAGATCTCAGCGTTCATACGGACGGACGGACAGACGGACATGGCTCAATCGACTTCGCTATTGATCCTGATCAAGAATATATATACTTTATACTCGGAAACGCTTCCTTCTATCTGTTACATACTTTTCAACGAATCTAGTATACCCTTTTACTCTACGAGTAACGGGTATAATTAGGAGCGCTGCTGCTTTGATCTCTTACAGGAAATCCAATGCCCTATTTAAATACAAATCTAAAAAAGCAAAACGAGAATCCTTCGAACGATTCACATCAAATATTACCCCTTTATCTTCTACTAAGAAGACATGGTCCGATCAAAATCGCCTAATTGGTAACTCCTCTTATAATCTCAGAACAATTAAATATAAAGATAAAGAGCTGTATCACTCTACTGGCATTCGCGACGCTTTTGGGAACTTTTGGTCGGACTATTCCAAGGACGACAACTTCTTCCACCAATACAAGACCTGCAAAGAAGAAATTCTCTCGCAGGATTACACAGTAACCAATTTGTCCGCATCTGCTACTGATGTCGACTCTTTTACCCGTAGCTAGCTTGAATATGCCCTTTACTACGCGAAAGGTAAAACTCCCGGTATAGACCGGATTTCATACTCAATGCTTAAACAGTTGCCCTCGAAGCTAAGTACCGCCTATTAGAAATGTAATGGTGGAAAAAGGTCCTACCCCCGGAAATCCGCCATTATAATCCCAATTTTAAAAACTAATAACTAATATCTTCCTTTAGACCCATTTCCCTCCATCCCTGTCTAAGCAAGACTCTTGTAAAAATGTATGCCGAACCACTTCTGTGGTTTATTACATAACATAAACTTATCAGCCCCCAAACAGCTTTTAAACAACAGCATAGCACTCTTGATTCTCTTCTGCATCTCCACCATTATGCATCTGATTCCCTTTCCACCAAAAATCATGTTATCATTCTGGCAACTGATTTTGAAAGGGCTTTTGATCGCATAGGGGTGCATACAGTACTGGATCAACTTTCCCGGTGGGAGGTAGGTCAAAAGACCTTCAAAGGCTTCGAAGGCTCTTATGATCAACCGTTCAATCCGAGTAAGAGTAAACAACACTCTATATCAGTTCTATACTCTGCACAACGGCATCCCACAAGGATCGCCCCTCTCTGTGGTGTTGTTTATGATTGCCTTTCAATCTTTAAATAAGATAATTTTAAGATATAAGCAAATTAACCTTTCTGTCTATGCAGATGATGCCATTATTTTTAGCAAATGTAAGCAATTCACTCAACAATAAGTTCACAGATATTCTCAATGAAATCCAAATATGGGGAAACACTTCCGGTGCTACCCTTGCTGTAAATAAATGTAAACTCTTTTATATTTGCAAAATACAACACTGTACATATCCATCATTATTTTTCAATAACATAGACATAGAACTCGTACCATTTCTTAAAATTCTTGGCCTGACTATCGATCAACGACTCACATTCAAACAACATTGTATAGAACTTAGAATAAAAGTTATCAATAGGCTTAACATTATAAAATTCTTAACAACTAAGCGCTCATTAATTCACCCCACTACACTGATACAAGCAACGAGAGCCCTGATGCTGTCCAAAATCGAGTATGGCCTCCCATCTACGAATGGTGTGCGCCATCTAGCCTAAATAAGATCCTACCTCCTTATCACGCTGCTGTGTGACGGAGTACCGGCGCCTTTCCAACGACCCCAACGAAATGCTTCCTGACCGAAGCCGGATTTCCGGATATTAAAACCAGAGTAGCCCAAACTACTTTTAAGCTGATACCAAAACTCTTGTGCTCAACGAACTCCATTCTTTGCAAGGACTACGACGTGGCCCTGAAGTATCGTAGGCAATTCAAATTTCAATCCACGATACGAAGATGTATACAGTTTGTGAAGAGATACAATATTGAAAAGCTTACCGATGGAATAAAGTCATCCCGTCTCCCCCATGGAAATTACGCTCCACGACCATTGAGACTTCACTCTATATTTTGCAAAATACGAGGACACCAGTCACAACGTTTAAGCAGCTATTCCAAGAAGTTACCGACAACTACTCTGATCGGAAATGGTTTTATACGGACGGATCTAAGTCCGAAGCCACAACCTCTTTCGCAGTGGTAAACGAACGCGTGGGGCCTGCTACCTCACCACTGTAGTGATGTCTTTCCACCCTGCAAGGAGTCCTAAACTTCTACAATAACAGCAACCTTCTGTGTGAAATTCGTCAAAGAAAAACACATAAAAATAGTGCCAAAATAAAGCTACTATGGGTTCCAGCGCATATAGGAGCAGAAATGTTAGCCGGACGGGCTCCGTGCCATTCAATTAAACCTGGAGTACAGCATCTGGAAAAATATCAAATAGTTACTGCTCGATATCGAATTGGAAGACTGGTCGTCACTTATCCACTGCTATACACAATTTAACCCTGAAAAAAGGCAAGGGAATGCGCCATTATCACTCGATTAAAAACTGGACACACAAACCTCACACACAAGCACATGCTAAACGGCGAAAGACGGCAAAACTATCCTAACTGTGGGGAGGAACTATCAGTCAAACATATACTAGATTTATGCAGACAATACCATACACTTAGGACCAACCTCTTTGGTCTTACACCGCCCTCAAACTTATTAACTACCTTAACAACAACTAAATTAAACCTAATAATATTCTTCTTAATTAGCACGACATGGTATAACTCTTATTAATTGTTAAGCCATAAACCCTCACATAAACAAATTGTTATATTAATTATCAAGTCGATGGCCTTAGTAGCTAGTTACTCCTTTCTATAATTAGTTATTATATTAGAAATATTTTTTATGTATACTAGCTAATAGAAAATAAATAAATAAATATTTAAAATAAAAAATTTATTAAAAAGAAGAGGAAACGCTATAGTCGAGTGCCGCGACTATAAGATACCCGTTACTGTTTTACACAATTTTAAAATATTCATTTTGCTAGTTAAAATTCACTAAGCGTGTTGGAGTGACTTCTCTTAAATACGTATTCTTAAGCAAAACTTCGTAGCTCTTATAGTTTCCGAGATATTTGCATTTTCGGTTTTTCGGGTTTTGTGGGCGTTAGGGTGGGCGTGGCTAGATGGAAAAAATTAGTTTGCTTTTGGAGCATCATAAAAACCTACATGCTTAATTTCTATCCCTTGTAGTTACCGAGATATCAGCTTTTCTAGAAAATGCGAAAACCGCCTTTTGAGCCTTGTGGGCGTATGGGTGGGTGTGGCCGGATAGTAGTACTATACATTCTGAATTTCATCTGTCTAGCTCTAATAGTTCCTGAGATTTCAGCGATTTTAGTTTTTCGCGATTTATGGGCGTTAGAGTGGACGCGGCAGTATGCTGTAATAAACTTGCGCTGCGTAAGGACCTCAAGAATCTTCATGGTTAATCTCAACTTTGTATCTCTTATAGTTCCTGAGATCTCAGCGTTCATACGGACAGACGGACAGACGGACAGACAGACGGACATGGCTCAATTGACTTCGCTATTCATCCTGATCAAGAATATACTTTATATATACTTTATAGGGTCGGAAACGCTTCCTTCTACCTGTTACATACTTTTCAACGAATCTAATCTAATTTACTCTACAAGTAACGGGTATAATGAAATAAATTAATAATTTTTAAATGACGAAGTGCAAATCAATGGCAGTTTAATATGGAAAATACAGAAAATACCATCAAATAATGGTATTAGAAATTACTTAGCGATCCCCCATAAGGCGGCCTTTCAGTAGTCATAAACAATTTAAAAAAAGAACTTTAGATCGCGAAATTATTTCATACTCTAACGCAGTTATGGTGCTCTAAGTACTGCCACTGATACATATTTCCAGATTTACTTACAGGTTCTGATACTTGCTGGAGTCACAGTCATTGTCCAAAAGCCCATTCGTATTGGCGCTCTTCACCATCTGAACAAGAATGGGTGTTAGTTCGCCTTCCAGGGCCAGCAAACCCTTGGCAAAGGCGGCGGCCGTCATTTGGACACGTCCCTCATCCGAAGCGTATATCTTAAGGTCGTGGCGAAACGTTGAGTGCAACCTGAAATTTGTTTAAGGCTTTCTTAATTTAATTTAACTTATTTATTCATATTATTTTATGAGCCTTGATAATTATTAGATATATACATTAGTGGTACAATCTAGTGACCCAACCAAGCTCTAATATTTGGACCAAACTGCATGAAGCCAACACGGCTGCTGCATTTTTCTGCAGTGCAGAAAAATAAAGTAATTCGCAGACTCGTTAGAAGGGTAGTTATCAAAACAGATATAGAGGTTATGGCTATAGTTTGTAATATTTACTACAAAGGTTATGGAAGAGTTATGTACATTTGATTAAGAGGTTCAAAACGACGTGTTAGCCGGTAAGCACAGCGAACCACATGCAACTCTGAATCAGGAATAAATCTACAAAGTTTCTTAAGATATAAATTTTGGATTTAAAACTAATGTTTATGTTTTAACTATATGTTTCAATAAAAACACATATACAAAGATCAAAACAGTTTGCAAAGCAAACAAGACGAAACGCTATAGTCGAGTGCCGCGACTATAAGATGCCCGCTACTGTTTTACACAATATTAAAACATTAATTTTGCTAGTGAAAATTCACAAGGCGCCACCTATTGTCAGGGAAAGCATGTTGAGTAACTAATAACGACGTCACAAACCACGTGAAGTCTTATACCTTAATTTCTTCATAAATAGCGAAATAATGTTCCGATTTAAAAACCTTTGGTAAATCGATAGATATTAACAGAAATAAGTTATACAAGGTCAATCGAAGGCATTCATAATAATATTATAGACGCCACAGTTTTCCCGCGGTTTGTGGGCGTTAGAATGGGCCGGATAAAAACGAGTGGCAAGTTGCAGTGGCATCTCTTAAATGCGTGTTCTTAAGCCTAACATTCTAGCTCTTGTAGGTCCCGAGATTTCAGCGATTTTAGTGGTGGGCGATTTGTGGGCGTTAGAGTGGGCGTGGCAGGATACTGTAAAAAACTTCCGCTGCGTAGGGACCTCAAGTTCCTGAGATCTCAACGTTCATACGGACAGACAGACGGACATGGCTAAATCGTCTTCGCTATAGATACTGATCAAGAATATACACTTTATAGGGTCGGAAACGCTTCCTTCTACCTGTTACATGCTTTTCAACGAATCTAATTTACCCTTTTACTCTACGAACAACAGGTATAAAAATTATATAATAATAACAATATTTATAATACAACTTTCACGAGTACCTTAGGAGGCCAAGGCCCTGGGTTCCCGAGTAATCCGACCTTCCTTGCCCGCCAGGATACATGCACCGAAAGATGCGGCCCAGTTCCTCCGCCTGGATGCGACCGGCAGGCGTCAGCTCACCGCCCCACTTAAGGATAAGAACTAGTGACGGCTCCACAGGTTGATCCGCTGCTAGATTGGCTTCGCTTTGGTTAATCGAGTCACTTGGATATGGAGGAATCCGACCAGACTTACTGTCATCGGAGCTGGAGCCACGGGGTCGACCCTTTGGTTGGTACTTCATCTGAACTTTGCGATTTATTCCCGAGAAGTGTCCATACATCTCTAGAACGTTCTTCAGCTGCTCCAGCTTGCTTTCCTTTTCCTCAATCTCGGCATGGGCCTTGGTGTGTATCTCGCTGAGCAGGAAACGGGCGATGTCAAGGATCTCCTGTAGTTGCTTGGGCCGCTTCAGCTTAACGTGGCCCAGCTTGTATCCGTCGTACTTCTCGAAGATCTCAAAAAATCTGGTTGGAAAGGATTGATTATATATAGACCGATTTAAATTCTAAAAGCTACCACTTACTTGGGGTGCCGCACCTCAACCTTCATTTTCTGTTTGGGCGTGCGATCGCCATGTCGAATTACGGCTACCACACAGCGCAGCTCCATCATTTTTCCAAATGTAGTGGGCACAATGGGTGGATCATCCAGCTGGAAGGGCACCGACCAGGGGATGTGCAGTGTGGGCGTTAGCTCCCTTAAGATCATGTTGCCCAGTATCTTAGCGCAGTCGTCGTAGTACTTATTCGAGTTCTTTACGAAACTAAACCCATTGACATCGCAGACGTAGCTCTTTCCGTTGGCTCGCAGCAGGTCGAATCCACAGACGGTTTGCTTGAAGGCAAGGCAAACCTTACGTGAAATGAGCTTCTCAGAATGATTGAGGATGACCGGATAGCGAATCTCCTTGCCCTCGCTATCGCGCTCCACTTTGCCGTCCAGAGCAGGACTCTTGCGGGCCTCGGCATGAGCGTAGTCCGGTCCCACGGTGTACACCTTGACGTCCGTGCCTGAAAAGTACACTAAGTTGTAAAGGTGATGCTGGATTCAGTGCTTTCGACTGGCGGCCACGGGGGGTTTCGATATTTTTCTATTTGTTTTTTATCTAGATTTCTATTTCTTTGTCTATTAACTAGATTTTTGTGATCTTGACGATGAGCGGCGCGTGCGGAGGGAAACGCAAGACAAGGCACAATGAGCGATGTTTCGTAGGAATCGTTAAAATAAAAAAAAAAAAGTTAAAAGTTTATAGCTTATCTGGAGCCAGACAGCCAGAGCAAACAATGGAATGGTGTAGCGATCGGAGAAGTATCGATGGAAAATTTTGTTTTAATCTTAATCTTGAATCTTATCTTGGATTTTACATAAATTTGCGTTTTGAAGATATGATTGACGGTTTCAAAAATAAAATAATATAATTGATTAAAGTTTGCTCAAATTTAAATTTGTAAAATTTTTTAAAATTGATCGGCTTTCCTATTTATACAAATATTACTTATAAAATTCGATTTGGACAAGGTCGAGGGAGCTGGCATGGACATGGGAGCATAGTGATCAAGTTGCATACCATCGGTGGGCATAAAGTCCTCGTAAATGAAGGATCCCGTCTTGCGTACCCTTGACTCGGGGGAATAGACGCTACTCCGGCTGCCGATCTTCCGGAAAAGGCGTTGACTTCCGCCGCCTGCGGAGGTTGGGTAGTAGATGTATATATTGTGGTCTTCGGCCGAGACGGGCTTCTCCACGAACGGCTTGTTGAAGGTGGTACCATTGACCTCCACATGGTCCTCGGATTCGATTAACTCGTGATCTGTTACGTAGAAAATTATATTACGGGATTAACAGGAACTGATTTATTGAAATACCCTTAAATGTAAACCAAAAACAAAAATAATATAAATATTCAATATACAGTGATGGAAAAAATAATAGAAACGATTTTTCACTTTGGGTTTGAATACGTATTTTTAATAAGGAACGTGGTGATGAGTGGATAAGTTTTTTTTTTTTTGATTTATATACATCTATCTTACATACTAAAAAACAAAAATGAATTTAACTTTATTCATTTAGCTAAAAAAATATATTTAAGTCAAATTTTATGTTTTTGACTTGGAAATAAAAATAGAAACGAAGTGACTTATCGTCATCCTAATTGACTAGCTTAGCAAAATTAACCATGAAATGTTTTCAGGTTTAATATTTTGTTGCATTACCACGATTTTTCAAAAATTCCGGCACACCTACGAGGCATAAACTCCACAGGATTGGAGCATATTGCTGGCTTAATGGAGTACCACTCCTCCTGGCAATATAATGCTATGGCGTTGTTTCTCTGCTTCAGGTGTTGGTCCACTATATTGGATACAGGACAATATCTGTGCTACAGACACTTTAAACATAATGATGGACGTTATGTTAACATATGCCGAAGATGAAATGCCTTTTAAGTGGGATATTATTAAGGATAACGATCCCAAAGACACATCGTAGCTTGCTAAAAAGGGGATCCTGGACAATAAAGTCGGCGTTATGGATTGATCAGCTTAGTCACCCGACTTAAACCCTATTGAGCATTTGAGGGGCATTCTTAAAAAACGTTTAAGTGGTTTTAGGCCAAAAAATAAGGAGCATTTGTGGGAGAAAGTCCAGGAGGAGTGGTACTCCATTAAGCCAGCAATATGCTCCAACGTTCCTTATTAAAAATACGTATTCAAACCCAAACTGAAAAAACGTTTCTATTATTTTTTCCATCACTGTACATACATTAATACGATTTCCGGGGGAAATATTTGTGCCACTTCGGAATATACAACATTTTGGTAATTTGCCGCAGTGTCATAGAGTAATGCTTGTTCGAATTATGGCTATCTATTTATTCTTCACTATTGGCATTACAGAAGTTATTTAACTTTTCAATTAATATCAAGACTACCTGTGTAAATTCTGCTACTTTTGAATTCGAATCCTTTCTTACATCCATTTCTACCTATTTTGGTGGGTAATTTTAAAATTTATATATATAATACTTACGTTTAGGGTCAGGTGAATCTCGATCGAGGACTGCGTAGCGAGGGATCTCGATGCCCTCTTTCTCCAGAATGGCGTATACCCTTCTCCTATCCTGAATATCATACTGCATGTGCAGATTATTCAGCACAAAAGGATTCCTTAGCTGAGCATATTCGATTGCCTTCTCCAGCGGAAAGCCCTTCGAGTGAAACGACACCAGACAGTCGCACATCGGCCAATTTTGGACCGGTTCTCTCAGGATCACGTTTTCCTCAAATGTCACCAGTTTGATGAACTCGAATTCTCCAAGGCGCGTGAGGATCTCCTTCATTGGCTTCGATTGTGTCTTCTTGGCCATCGCGCATATGCCGACGACCACCTGCTTGCTGTTGCTGGACGATGTGCTAGTGTCGGAGTCCATTCCGTCATTGCTGTCCCCGAAGTCCGTGTCCCCCTTCAAAAACGGAAAGAAGTTTTGATTAATGATATTTCTCGGCAGTATCTTGCCGTATTAAAATTGAGATTTAAACAGGCAGGCAGCAGGCAACGGCAAAAACATCAGGGAGTCTGGGCCCCTTGATCTTCTATTTTAGTTAAGTAATGTGTACTTTTCTCTCCTCTGCCACTTAGGGGCTTATATAAAAGCATTCAAATTGTTAACAGCCCCGTAGATTAGTAATTGAGATCATTTAATAAAGCCCTAAAATATACCGTTGTCAGCCGATCAACTGATTAGAAGCTCGTTAGGTTCTCTGAAACCGAACAATCAATATTTTTTAGCTAGCCAAAGAGACCTACATTCATACAAATATCGCAAAAGCAGAAATCATTGCTTTCATCATCACTGCTATGAGCTGGACCGTAATCCTCGTAATCGCTGACATTAAAGGGTCCGTACTCTCCATCGTCGTTTTCTTGATTCATACTAAGCGAATTCTCTGTTCCCTGCTGACTGCGAATTCCGGCACTTCGACTCCGTCGCTGGCGTTTCAGAAAACGATTACGGCGTAAACGATCGTGATCACGGCCCCGCCGACGTCTTGTTATGGCCCCATCAGATGACACTGCGTCTAAGCTGTGACGACGATTGGCCTGTGGATCTTTGGATCCATTACTGTCCCCACATTTCGAAATGGGTAAAATTGCTGCGGAGGCTACAGCAGCTCCAGCGGCTATCGCGGCCGCTTCTAGTTTTTTTTTATGCCGTTGATGACGGGATCGGAGCTTCTTTAGGCGCCACCAGTCTTTGAACCAGGTCCACTCCATCGTGTTGCCAATTCAGCTGTTTTTTAGCTAAATCTAATTTGTTATTTTTGACACTGTAAGCACTTTAGGAGAGCCAATAAAGCAAGCCATGTGAGTTTGTCGGACGAATTCCTCAAAAAACGACGAAGGTTAACTGTATAACGACCGTACAGCGCAACGCAGTCAACCGACTAGAGAAATTGTTCGGAAAACGGTTCGCTTGGGATCGAATCTTATCGTATCGGATTGTTTCGGGGCTTACGCCAATTGGTCTGAGCACCCTCTCATAAAGTTATGGGGGAAAATCTGATCAGCTGCAGATAACAATCGAGAAAAGCAGGAAGAGATGTGACCACACATAGAGAAATACATACATATATCAAAATTCAAATTTGTTTGGCAAATTCACAAGCCAAACCTCAAAAAGTTTAACAGTTGCTTTGAATATCTAATCAAATATCTTTTGAAACCTAAACACTTAAAATAAAGTTAATTATTTTGATATTTAGCTTTAATCAAAGTTCTTTACGCAAGTTTATTTTATTTTATTTTCAGTGCATGGAGATGCCGCGAGTGAACGCGTTCTCTTTGTATAATTGTTTCGACATGCTAAAGCCGTTTTGTTATCATCGTCGCTGTTCACGGCACGACTTAACTACGACATGTGTACATAGCGTCCAGGCCCGGCCGTTCGGTTCGTATTAATGAAAGCGACTACAAAGACAACGGGAGCGACACAAAGAGCAGCGAGAAAAAACGATAACCGGTATCGGGCGGTAGGCAAGCTTGATAAGAATCCCAGTGTTAGGGGTTCTGGGGGTCTCATAGCACAGAATCGCCATAAATCCGCCAAAATACCAATTGAACAAGTAAATAATTGCCATGTACATATACCCTGCCGATTGAAACTGCTAACAATGCGATGCGATCTCCCGCAATAATTATCACCTCTCATCTGATTTTTTTTTTTTTTTGCTAAAATCTCTCTCTTTCTCTGTGTTCAGAGAATCAAACAGAATAACGATTCGTGGGGAAAAAATAAAGATGTACTTTATCTCAGAGAAAGACAAAGGCAGACCAAGAGGAGAATTGGTCACATCATTTTTATACCCGTTACTAGTAGCTGAGTCAATTTAGCTAAGTTAGCTGTCCGCCTGCACGCTGAGATCTCAGGAACTATCATAGATAGAATGTTTGGATTAAGCATGCAGATTCCAGAGATGCCGCCACAACTTTTTTTTTCTTTTTTCGCATCTGCCCACGCAAAAGCCAAAAACTGAAAACGCTTTCGAAAACCATAGAGCTCGAATTAGACATAAAAATATCTAGACACCAACCGCGAAAAACTGCTGCGTCTATAAAATAAAGATTTATATTTTGGTCTTAGCTTGTATACTTTGATTTCACTACCATTTTTATACCCGTTACTCGTAGATTAAAACGGTATACTAGATTCGTTGAAAAGTATGTAACAGATAGAAGGAAGCGTTTCCGACCCTATAAAGTATACGAGGTGTGTTCAAAAAGTAAGGTGACTCTTCAAATTTCGCGAATTTAAAATTTTTCGATTATCGATTTTTTTGTTTTGTTATATTGGTACACTCTTCCCTAACATCTGTACCAAGTTTCAATGGAACATCCTCTTTTGTTTGGTTGTGAGAGGCGTAAAGTTACAAGTTGTTTTGCGAGCTCGGCGATTTTTTGCTATCGAAAAATATGGATCAAAGGATTTGGATTTTTTGGCCAAAAACAACACCACAATAATGCCTCAGCCACCATATTCACCGGATTTGGCCCCATGTGACTTTTTCTTGTTCCCAAAACTGAAGATAATCGAAAAATTTGAAAAATTTGAAATTTGAAAAGTCACCTTACTTTTTGAACACAACTCGTATAACTTCTAAAAGGTTTCGATAATCGAAAAATTTGAAATTCGCGAAATTTGAAGAGTCACCTTACTTTTTGAACACACCTCGTATATATTCTTGATCAATATCAATAGCGAAGTCGATTAAACCACGTCCGTCCGTCCGTCTGTCCGTCCGTCCGTCCGTCGTCTGCCCGTCCGTCCGTCCGTATGAACGTTGAGATCTCAGGAACTTAAGAGATACAGAGTTGAGATTAAGCATAAAAATTCTTGAGGTCCCTACGCAGCGCAAGTTTATTAAAGCATCCTGCCACGCCCACTCTAAACGCTAGTTTCACTGGAGTTAGATATACCTTTATAAGTATTTTATTAACTTCCTCTAGTATCATGAACAACATCCGAAAGATTCACAAAAAAATCGTTTTTTTTGGAAAACATTTCCCTATTTTGACACAATTAAGATAGTTCTTATAAAACTTACCGAAAAAATTGTTTAAAAGGCAATCGGAAAACAAGCACTCTGTTCGAAGGGTGGACTCTGACTGTGGTTCGGATTGGGAGATGCAATGGGATTTTATTCGGGGACACCCGAGATTCCAGACAGGGTCCGAGTCCAAAACCAAAACAAACAAATTGAGCAAACAGCTGGCTCAACTTTGTAATTAATTATTGCAGCCAGGAAACACAAAATATAATTACAAATAGGCCGACTCGCCAGGTTGGGAAAGCAATAAAAGCTTAACGGTATACAAAAAAAAACATATTAAAAAAGAAACAGTTAAACAGCGAGTGAAATTATAAGAACGAAACGAAAGAGTGCAAAACTGAAGAATCATCGGATGGAAGAACCACGAGGCACGCTGCTCCAGAGGCTCAAACGGGTCCAATCTGTCTGTACCTGGTTTTAAGGGGGCGACGGGAATATAAGCGGCTGGGTCAAAGAACATCGTCAAAATATCACGAAAAAATATTTCCTCCATAATATCATATTGTATTGCTTAAACTTATAAAATATAATATTTAAAACCTTCACAATTGACGTTACACATTTTATTAAGGAGGCTTAGTTCCCTATTAGGAGATTCTAATCTAATCACCATTTTGATGTTAAACTATTTAATAATTGTGAAAAAAAACAGGGAAAGATTTCTTTGATTTGTAAAAATGTAATATTACGATTTAACTACTATTATCTTGAAAAATAGTTCCACATACAAATTATAAAAGTAAATTTAGCAGAAAACAAAAATCTACGAATTCGGTCTAAAACATTTCGAAAAAGACCTTATAAGTTTGGCCAAGAACTACAAATTTCTGAATGTACAAATTAAATATATAGCAATAAATAAACAAATTATATAAATCAAGCCAATATTAATTGTTAGCCTAAAAAATGTATATATAGGACTAGCAACTTTTTTGTTTAAAATTCAAAACCTTCTACAAATTTGGATATTCCTTTTTTAAAAATTGAAATAAGTCAAACTCTCAACGTCTCTAACATAATTATACGCCAATCGAAAGTAAAGTTTAGAAAATAATGTTCTAAATTATGAATCTATAAAAAATATATATAAACAAACAAATTTGGCGTGGACTTGCCAAAACTGCTGTCTTTGAGTCTTTTGGCTAGAAGGACATACTACAATTCATATTTACATACATACATACATATACACACATGCTCATTTGAGCTGCGTTCATCTGAGAACCAGACACACACGCAAAATAGAACAGAGAGTCTTAGAGGGGAAGCTTTTGGCATTGACATTGAACACTCAGCTGTTGAGGGGGAAAGCAGGAAAGAGAGGAGAAACTGCTACTGCAAGAAACCCGCAAAAAATCAGGGCCAGACCCCGTTATGCACATCTCATCTACATTCGAATTCTAGGTCGGCACAGTAAAAGCACAAATTGTTTTTCGAAATCAATTTATAGCTTTTTTTTTTAATTTAATTTCAAGATCATCCAATTAATCAACGACTTTCAGAACTCTTATTGCGACCTCTACTATAAATAGGTTTGAAAGCACACAATTATAAAAAATCATCGATTTAGTGGATTAGAAGTACATAGTGGTACGATAATAACAGTACAGCGCATACATTGCCATCCTGTAGTCCCAAATAGAAACCGACTCGCTGTTGCTGCGGCTGATGAGGCGGATTTTGCTGCTGCTGCTGCTGGGATATATCCTGGTATCCCGATTCCAATTCGGTATAGGACATGCTTATCCTGTGCGGTGGTGTTAGTGTAGGTTATCCAAATAAAAATAACAAGGGCAAACTTTTTGTATTCTGTTTTTTTTTTACATTTTATATTCACTTTCGTCTCCTTTGAGGCTATATTTTAATAACAGATATTTATTTTTTCACTGTCCTTTGATTTTACGAGTTACGAAATACGTTTCAGGTTTTGGCTTATTTTTATTATCATAAATTAAGTAGCTCTGAATTCGCCGCCGGTGGAACAAAGTCGCGCAGTCAAAGGGGTGAGTAGCATGGGTGTTTTGTCGAATGCTGCGGATTGGGCTATTAATTATTATTAAATTATATTTATCTCGCTCTTAATTATTTTTCTGCTAATTCTGTTTTCTTTTAGAGTCAAGGCACGCACACACGTCCGGCAAAATCGATACATTGGTCATCGATGTTAGTATCGGTTAAAAGTGGTCGTTCGGTAATTTTTTCCGATACCAGCGCGGTCACACCGATCATATCAATATTTCAAACATAAATGTTAATATGTTTTCTCTATCGAGGCGTCCGCCGTTGTTCCTCTGCCGCTTCTCTCCTACTATTTTTAGTTAACATTTCGATTCGATTCAGCCGGCCATTGTTATATTGCCACCCCCCTGCAAGTTTTCAAGGCGAATTCATGAAGAGCCTTTAACTGTTCAGAAAGCTTGGTGCCAATTTTTAATAATTACCAATGAATTTATATATTTAATCAAATGAACAAAAATATAAATGGCTTTTATACAAAAAATGAAAACTACAAGAACTAGGACTGTGTAATTAATAAAAAAAAAAAAATTAAGTTTTAAGCTATTAAAAAATTAAAATTTATAATAATTTATGTCCCATCTATTGTCCAATCAACAATATATGTACATATGTATGCTTTATTAGGTCGCGCACGCATCCTCCTACCTTAACATGTTTTTCAACGAATATAATATTTTCGTTTACTCTAATAAGAACTGTGCATTGCAAATGTTACTTGTGGTCACTAATGGGAAAATTTTGGAAGAGAAACACATGATTACGGTTATAGGGCGGGAATGTTTATTATTTTTTAATTTTCTTTCTTGTCATCTAAGCACTGAAGCTTAAATTGAATTACCGGTGCTTGAGGAGGTGCTTGGTCGTGATCCGCTTTCGATCTCGAGCGATGATCTCCATGCGCTCCTTTATGTTGGTCTGAAAAAAGATCAGGTGCAGAGCTCGACTGGCCGAGCACAGCTGATTAAAAAGGAAGATTAGGAAAATATATTGCAATTATTCCATTGCACAATGTGTAAAAAAAAAATTTAAGAAATTATATATTTTTTTTTATCAAAACAGACATTTGTAATTACTGCATAGCATTTTAAAATTAGTTACTATATTAGTTACTATACAGTACAGCCCAAACTATTGTTTTAAAATTGCTTCTTAAAAATAAGGAATTGGTCAAAATAGATCTGTTTGCCGCTTATAAAACTCTTTATTAACGCAACTAGTTATGATATGGAAAAGTTGATTTCATCTGTATTATACATTTGCCCATATAGGATATAGATACGGAAAACATTTAATTTGTACATTTTCTTCGACCAAATAGGAATCACGGCTATATTTTAATATTAAATTAAATATAAAAATCGTTTTGAAACAACCATCATGCAAATAACGCTTCAACATCTATAATTAGCTTCAGTGTTGAACTCACCTGTTGAAGCAATCGTGCCTTGAGGCGCAGATTTCCAGGCTCCTCTGCATCTAGGGTGTGATCACAGGTTTCCAAATGTAGATTCAGAACGAAGATCAGGGTGTCCCTGATGGTTTGAACAATACGCTGGACTTGCTCAGTTGCAAAAAGCCTACGGACCAAGAATCCACGTACAGCGGCATTTATACGCGTAGCTGCCACCTGGCGCTCTTCGGACTCCAGGTTGGCATTTTTCTAGCGGGGATCAGAAGCGAAATTAAAGGGGAATGAAAGCACTTTCTGAATGGGTTATTAATTATGTTAGCTATATGTGCTAAAAGTTTTGTCTCTTGATTTCCTTTGCAGTCTTTGTTAAGGCACGGGTTAACTGGCCATCCAATTTGTTATGGCTTCTTGCGCTGCTTGTTTTTGGGAAGTAGAAATAATAGAATGAGGATACAGAATAAAGATCTTACAGGTAATACAGCCCCTGTGTTTATTTCTTTAGTTTATCATTTGCATTGAAAAAGAGCTTTTAAGGTTACCCAAATGTAGATTTTATGTCGCGACTACTAGCTACCCGTTACTCTGTGACCCAAATTTAAAGTAATAATGATCATAATTATACCCGTTACTCGTAGAGTAAAAGGGTATACTAGATTCGTTGAAAAGTATGTAACAGATAGAAGGAAGCGTTTCCGACCCTATAAAGTATATATATTCTTGATCAGGATCAATAGCGAAGTCGATTGAGCCATGTCCGTCTGTCCGTCCGTCCGTCCGTCCGACTGTCCGTCCGTATGAACGCTGAGATCTCAGGAACTATAGCAGATACAAAGTTGAGATTAAGCATGAAGATTCTTGAGGTCCCGGGACAGCGCAAGTTTATTACAGCATCCAGCCACGCCCACTATAACGCCCACAAATCGCAAAAAGCTAAAATTGCTGAAATCTCAGGAACTATTGGAGCTAGAAAGTTGAAATTCAGAAAGTATAATCTTTAGATGCCAGCGCATCTTATAGTGGTACTACTATCCGGCCACACCCACCCATACGCCCACAAGGCTCAAAAGACGGTTTTCGGATTTTCTAGAAAAGCTGATATCTCAGTAACTATATGAGATAGAAAGTTCGGATTAAGCATGTAGGTTTTTATGATGCTCCCAATGCGATCAAGCCACGCCCACTCTAACGCCCATTAAACACGAAAAACCAAAAATGCAAAAATTTGGAAAACTATAAGAGCTACACAATTTCGCTTAGGAACACGTATTTAAGAGATGCCTCTGCAACTTGCCACGAAGTTGCATCCGGCCACGCCCACAAACCGCCGATAACTGTGGCGTCTTTAATATTATTATGAATGCCTTCGTTTGACCTGTAACTTATTTCTGTTAATATCTATCGATTTACCAAAGACTTTTCAAATCGGAACATTTGTTCGCTATTTATAAAGAAATTAAGGTTATAAGGCCTCACATGGGCAGTGACGTCACTATAAGCATACTCAACATACTTCCTCTGACAACAGGTGGCGCCTTGTGAATTTCCACTAGCAAAATAATATTTTTAATATTTTAAAATTTTGTAAAACAGTAACGGGTATCTTATAGTCGCGGCACTCGACTATAGCGTTTCCTCTTGTTTTTACTAGTGCCATCTTCGTTTCGAACTATATATATATATATATATATATATATTCTTTTTTCATTTATATGTATATATGTATATATAAATTTGTTAATATATAACGAAATAATTTTTCCATTTTTTTTAAATTGATATGTATTTACACTTAATATTGTTTAAAGCAAAACAAGGATTGGTGGTTTGTGTTCGTTAGAATGGTCGTTGCCGGAAGTTTCTCTAGAATCTCAAAGCTTCGTTCCAGCTTTGTATCTCTTTTGGTTACCGAGATCGCAGTTGTTAATTTAAAATTATATTTTAACAGAAAACTTGATTTGAAAATTGCATTGTGTAAAACAATGAGAGGAGACAGACTTAGGCAAAATCAAACGGAAATAACTAAGCTTATAGTTTATTTGCATAAGGTTTCGTTTAGATCACTTACATTCATTAGTCGCTTGGGTGAAGAGGTGCTCCTTGCTGGTGTTGCGGTGTTCCTTTTCGATACAGTAGAGATTCCGTTTCCCGTGGAGCTCTTTGGTCTTCCTACTTCACCTCCACCCTTCGTTGGTGATTTGATCACCTCACGGCCTGCACTACTATTTAATTTCCTAGAATTGCTGCCAACAGTTTGCGATCGTCTTCTAACAGCTTGTCTACTGTTAGTTAAACTACTGTTCCGGAGTGGTAATGATCTCGGTGTGCTAGGCGCACTAATCTCCCCCAGTGACTGTGGTTCCGAGTCGTAGCCAATAGATAGTTTCGGACTAAACAACCTCTTTCGAGCGGAAGAAGGAGCAGCTATTCGGGAGCTGTCATCCATCGAGGAAAGATCGTCATGCTCTTTCAACTTACGCAGCGTGGCATCCATAAAAGAGAATATTGTTGGAGTTGGTGAGACCGTACGCAGGTCTCCCGTACTGGTGCTCTGGGACACCTGTCGGTCGGGATTGTCTGTGCCTGCAGAAATATCGATCTCAGCGCAAAGTTCTTCAACAAGCTGCCGTTGCTGAACTTCAAATTGTGCTTGCATTCGTCGACGCTCCTCTTCCTGGTGTAGAATCAACTGATTCATCCGCTCCCGATGACCACGTAGATAGTTTCGAACTCCTGCTTTCCGGTTAGCTTCTTGAGGACCACGCTCGTCTAGCGCCCTTTCTATTATACGCTCTACCTCACGATCTCTCTTGGAGTAGCTATTGTAGGTGGTTGTGGTGTTTGTGTTGGTAGTGGTTTTGCTGGTGTTGTTGCTGTTGCACCTGAGACTTGGATTCACCCTCTTGGCCTGAGATTCTATAGTCTGCCTCTGGAAGTTGGCCAAATTCTGATTGGGCTTGACAACCAGGGCCTCCCGCTGCATATGCTCTACGAGAACCTGAGAGGGCTCCTCCAGCGTGAAGCTCCTTGATCGTTGAAAGGTAGCTGGCTCTGTCTGCGAAGCTGTTAGCTCCATTTCCTTCAACTCATGCCACGGCTGCTCATTGCCTTTAGCTATCGAAGGACTCGTACTGGAGCGTAGGATTCTCTTTTCCTGAACTTTTGGCAGCAATTTACCAAGTCCTGACTGCTCAAACTGCAAAATGCGGTCAGTTATTCGATTGTGACGTCTGGCTGACGAGTTTTCTAAAGGTGGCTGGGGTGTAGGAGGATCCACATGAATGGTTGGCAGCTTAATATCCAGGATCAGAGTTTGAGGACGTGCATGTCCTCGTGTGCTATCATAGATAAAGGTCTCCGTCTGCTGCAGCTGAGATAGACTCTGCGGACTGGCCATGTCTGATCCCGCCGAGTGTCTGGCCAGGCGGTATCGTTCCTCCAGCTTCATTGCCATCTGGCGGGATTGCTGAACATCGCGCCTCTTGGCGCTTGTCATCTGGAACATCGTGAAAGAGTTACGGTTGAGTGGGTGTCACTCCCTAAATAAGATTTCGTCTCACCAGCGGTGGCAATATGGCCTGACCATCTAACCGGAACCGAAAGAAGGCGGGGTACGGGAAACCGGAACTGCCCTCGGATGGAGCGCTCCAGATCGATATTGTTGCTGTAGGCGTGGGTGTGCTGGCCTCACTGTGGGTTCGGCTGAGCTCGACGGCGTCTAGCAGCTGCTCCATGGCTCTACTGTAGTACAGAGGACATCAGATTCCGCCAAATCAATTAAAATCCCATTAACTAACATAAACACCCATGAATCTCAATAATTCCTCTTACCAAGCCGCATCCATCGGTAATTTTTGCAAAGAATTTTGTAAGGAACGTCGAATTTAGGAAAACGTACTTTCTAAATTTATTTGCCGTGTTGAAGTTTTGAATTGTTTTTCTTTTTTTAGGACTTTTTTTTAATAGGAAACTAAAGGTGGACTAAAGTTGAGTCTTGCTTTTTAGTTAATAATCGATTATTTAAGTATTTTGGGCCCATTTTGTTATTATTATTAGATTTCACTCCATTTTTAAAATTGATTGAAAATATTAACAAAAATTAATTAATTAAATTAAATTACAATTTTGGCGGTCTATTTTTTATTGTAATATAAGTTACTCAGAAGCTTTGGAGGAGTGGAAGATCTGTGTAAGGCTTGGGTATTTGGTAATCGTCAACATTTTTTTACACTTTGTTAGCAAGCATCAATAGTTTCGAATGAGACCCTTAGACGATATTAATGCTTCTAGATTTTTTGGGCTTCATGGTAAATTTCTGAACATTTTTTTGTGGGAAATTCAAATTATTTAAATTTATTTTTACAAAAATTTGTATGCGTACAGGCTTTTTATCGTTATCGATTGTTCGTGTTTACTAGTATGTTAGTGGCTTACCATTTATTAACACTGCAGCTGCTTCCATAACAGATATTTCGCACTGTTAACCGCCACTGTTATTGCGCGTCAGTAGAAATTCATAATATAAAAAATAAAGACGTTTCCATATCTGGTAACACTATTCTAGGAGAATTGTTTTCTTTTTTTTCATTGGTAATTTTTGTGGCGCGATCGAATTTGCTTGGAATCCGGAAAATAAGGCTTACATTTTCAAATGTGTTTTGTGTTTGTATAAAATATAAAATATGTAAAACTGGTATTGTTTTTGCATGTGTTTTGTGTTTCTTGCCATTTAGTTACAGAAAAATTTGAAAAACGCTGAAATAGGTGTGTTAACTTAAAATTTTACGTATTTCCGATTACCTTTGCTCTATATTTTGTTCTCTTAAAATTGCGATGTTAATGTGTAAAGAGTGCATTTACGTGTGTTTGTGCAAGTGGGGCGTACGTTCTGCAAAAGTTGGTTTCATCTGTTTATTCTTTATTTTTTTCAGTGTAACACAGTTCCTGTCTCCTCTGTTCCTTTAACTCTGTGTATCGCACTGCTTTTAGTAAAGTAAAGTGCAGGTCTAACAAAATCAAGAAGCGTCAAGTTTCGCACATATGTGCGGACGAATACATATGTACATATGTAGTTACATGCAAACAAACGTTGTGAGTGTGAGTGTGATTGTGTTTCTGTTTTTTGTATAACATTCTGCGACGCAATTGAAAAAGACATCGAAGGCCAAACAACTTTGCCTTGTATACGTTTTTCTATAGCTTTATTAGTTCTTGTTTCTTGGTTTAATTTATTGGTTTCGTTTTTGTTATTATTAATATTTGTACTTCAAAGCTTTTACGAGTGCTTCGCTTACAGTTCTCTCCCGCGCCTAAGTGCCATCTCTTTCGCACGCAGCCGGTAAACAACTATGACAATAGATGGAAAACAATAAAATAAAGAAAAAGTAATAACAAGAACCAGTTGAAAAAATAAATTGAGTGGATAATCACTGCTTGAAAAGTCGCAATAACATGGCCAACTTTTCATGGTGCACAACGCAGTTTTCTTTGTTTTAATTGTTTCCCCATTTGGGAAAAACAAATTTGATTGTGTGAGTAAGACAGGCCCTCAAAAATCGAAAAAAAAATGCAAAACCATTTTTGTAAATTGCCATGTAGCCGAAAAATGCCTCATGTAACAGTAATAAATAATCGTATTTTATTTTCTACACAGCAGCCGTTGACAACAAAGCAAACAAAAGGGTCATAAAGGGTGGCTAAGGACAAAGAGGGAACAGGGAAAAAAGAAAACAGTAGCTCCGTCCATGCGCACAGCTTGTTAAGAACCTGGTTTAACGCTAAACTAATTGTCCCTGGTTAACAATCGCGGAAATCAAGGGAAAAGGAAAAGCCACTCAAATTCAAAATGTTTCAAGCCCTGCCCTGTCCGTCAAGGTCTACGCTCCACTGTGGAGCAGCAGCCATTGCCACAGTAATCATAATGGCCTGGTAAGTCGCATATTTATTAAGTAATTTATTTACATACAACTGAACTTGCTTATCTCGACTTTCCTACTTAATCAAAATAATTAAAAATAAAGAGTAAATGTTTTTGCTAACTGAAAGTGGCAGATGGTGTTTTGACTTGAAATTGAAACAATACAAGACTTAAAACAAGAGGAAACACTATAGTCGAGTGCCGCGACTATAAGATACCCGTTACTGTTTTACACAATCTTAAAATATTCATTTTGTTAGTTGAAATTCCCAAAGCGCCACCTATTGTCGGAGAAAGCATGTTGAGTAACTGATAGCGACGTCACTGCCCATGTGAGGCCTTATAACTTAATTTTCTTCAAAAATAGCGAAAGTATGTTCCGATTTGCAAAATCTTTGGAAAATCGATAGATATTGACAAAAATATGTTATACAAGGTCAATCGAAGATATAATAATATTATGGACGCCACAGTTTTCCGCGGTTTGTGGGCGTCAGAGTGGGCGTGGCCGGATGAAAACTAGGGACAAGTTGTAGTGGCATCTTTTAAATACGTATTCTTAAGCACAACTTTCTAGCTCTTATAGTTCCCGAGATTTTGGCATTTTTAGTTTTCCTGGTTTTGTAGGATGTAGCAGGGCGTGGCTTGTTGGGATAAAAACAAATCGCATTTAGTGCATCATAAAAACCTACATGCTCAATCCGATCTTTCAACCACTTATAGTTACCGAGATAACCGTCTTTTGAGGAATATATATATTCAGGATAATTTGCTTATCTGCCTCGATACTTACTTAGCTGCATCGTCAAGATAGCTGCCTGATATTTTCATTTTTCTGCATCATGGTCACTTTAGTATGAAAATAATTACGTTTAGTGCACCCAACTTAGCAGCCTGCACTTAAGCGCCTCATATCGGCAGAATTTGTTATGGTTTTCTATGAAAATCATATAAGTTAGTTGCGCCATCTATTGAGCTATAGGTAAACTTTTTTTTGTTCAAAAATTAAAATTAAGATAGCTGCATTTTTAAGATAGCTGCCTCAAACTTGCGTGCAAAGTACTCAAGGCAGCTAAGCAAATTATACTGTACTTTATAGGGTCGGAAACGCTTCCTTCTATCTGATACATACTTTACAACGAATCTAGTATACCCGTTTACTCTACGAGTAACGGGTATAATTAGTTTTTGTTTTAGAAAGCTCTATTGAATTTGATAGCAAATTTAGTAGGTTCAGTGGAATCTGTTGATAGTACGACCAGACTAGTAGCTCTGAATTTCTATTTAATTTTAATAATAAAAATGAAAATATATAATATTCTATGTAATTTGGTATTGTTAACTACAAAAGTTAAATTGTGGAGCTGAAGGAACGAGGGAAAGATCGCCGTCTCTTGGCCAATTTCGAGGTGCAATGTTTTATTTTAAGAAAATATGTGCGCACACAAATATAGATTGTTACACATATGTAGAAGCTCACCAAAATGGAGCTCATGTGCACTGGCCCCACACCTGTGGTCAAATTCATAGTGCGTTCCTTTGAAATATTGAGTGGAATTGGAACATGCTGACATGTTATTGTTTGTTTGTTTATAATCTCTTATAATTGTGTTAAACAATGCGAACTACACAACTCGAAATGTATTTAAAATAAAACGTTAAACACGAAAATTCCTTTCCTTTGCCATACTAATTCCCTAAGTCTTAATTCTGAAAAATATATTATATATTTTTCTTTGTAAAGCGTTAGTTCTAATAACGTATCCCCAGATGTAGTTCGCTGTGTTAATGCTGGCGATCTCTTTGTACGTGCTTTCTTTCACCTTCGTTTTGGTCGACTGAAAGGCTACTCTTTCGCCACCGTTCCGGCCTTCCTTGCTTTTTATGTAAATATCCACTCGTAGATAAAAATGTCACACCAGGCCCATGCACGCCGACGACACTCTCCTCCGCCTATTCAATCAAAGATTTCGGTGTGGCGCATTTAACTTCGCTTTTCCTGCTGAATGCTTCGGATTGTTGACCTGGTAACCTGACCTGCATTTTTTTTTAGTTCTCGAGATTCATACAAAAGACAGACGGACTCTACGTAGGTAGGTAGGTATAAAACTATCTATGTATAAAATAAATAAAGTTATCCCTAGAGAATTTTAAAGAATATTCACTGTACCAGCTCTCAGTGTGCTTCTAACGGCCATGTAACACTCTCCATTCCCCTATCTAAATGGCACAATTGTGTTTCTTGTGTGCCCTTTTTGCTTAGCTTTTCCCCTTGTGATCAGTCATATAATTAAAAAAAACACATTAAAAAAAATAATGATATGCAATGGCAATGTCACTTGATCGTCTATTCTAAAAAAAATCCGTTTACCACTCCAAAACTCCCCGCAAGTATCGCCAGAGGCATCGTCAATTCAAAGTGCAAACGTTAATTATATCTTTGTTGAAGTCCCTGTATGCGGCGCATCAGAAGAGTGTGCGGAGGCGACTCATATCGTACAGTAAACAAAAAAAAAAAAAAACAAAAAAAAAAACATGAATTTGATTACCAAAGAAACAATGTAAACCTTTGAGGCAAAGAGTACTAGTTTTTGGCTTAGTTGTTGTTGAAGAATAGATCGGACATTTATCATTATTGTCAAATCGCAATTAATTAAATGCTCATCATTGTATTGTTTTTTAAATCGCAGCTAGATAAATGCACATTATTGTTTTGTATTCTGTACAAGCTTTAAGCTTTAAGCTCACATGCATAGCCGAAATTGCAGTAGATCTGTATTAGTATTGCAATATCACGCGTTTTTCTACATTATCTTTTCTGCACGTTTTTTCGGCAGTTATATATAGTTTTGTACCCGCAACCGCTCGCAACCTGCACCGCTTAAAACATTTTGTGAACCCGCCTGTATTCAAGAAATAAACTCGAACCCTATAATAAAAGAAATACAGTCCACTTAATTCATAAACAGTTGTTTTCTTTTTGTTTTATTTTAAAAATGCGTCTGATGGCATTCATTGAGACCCATTTCCCCGTTCTAGTTAATTATGATAAAACATTTTGATATCAACTTTATTTTAACATTTAAAAACGCAGAAGTAGGCCAAATGTAAGCAGAAAAAGAAAATACCTTCGATAGTCGAAGCTATATACCCTTGCATTTTCCATTTATTCCATCTTATATTCATCATGAATTTTATTTAAATTTAAATTTAAATTGAAACAATATTTTACAAACTTTGGTTAGTGACGTCACCGTCGGTTAATAAAGACACCTAATACGGTTTTAGGAACAGATGGCGCTAGTCATGGCATAACGGGTATCCAATAGTCGCGGCATTCGACTATAGCGTTCCTACTTGTTATACCCGTTACTCGTAGATTGAAAGGGTATACTAGATTCGTTGAAATGTATGTAACAGATAGAAGGAAGCGTTTCCGACCCTATAAAGTATATATATTCTTGATCAGGATCAATAGCGAAGTCGATTGAGCCATGTCCGTCCGTCTGTATGAAAGCTGAGATCTCAGGAACTATAGCAGATACAATGTTGAGATTAAGCATGAAGATACTTGAGGTCCCGGGACAGCGCAAGTTTATTTCAGCACAAATCGCGAAAAATTAAAATCGCTAACATCTCAATGAAATATGAAATATGAATATGAAATTCAGTATGTATAAACTTTGGATGCCAGCGCATCTTTTAGTGGTACTTTCTTTCGGCCACACCCACCCATACGTCCACCAAGCTCAAAAGTTTTCGCATTTTCAAGAAAACCTGATATCTCGGTAACTATAAGAGATAGAAAGTTCGGATTAAGCATGTAGGTTTTTATGATGTCCCAAATGCGAATTGCTTTTTCCGATCAAGCCATGCCCACACTAACGCCCACAAAACCCGAAAAACCAACAATGCAAAAATCTCTGGAACTAAAAGAGCTAGAAAATTAGGCTAAGGAATATGTATTTAAGAGATGCCACTGCAACTTCCCACAAGTTTTCATCCGACCACGCCCACTCTAACGCCCACAAACCGCGGAAAACTGGCGTCTAAAATAATATTATGAATGCCTTCGTTTGACCTTGTATAACTTATTTCTGTTAATATCTATCGATTTACCAAAGATTTTTCAAATCGGAACATTATTTCGCTATTTATGAAGAAATTTAGGTTATAAGGCCTCATATGGGCAGTGACGTCGCTATCAGTTACTCAACATGCTTTCTCTGACAATAGGTGGCGCTTGGGTAATTTCCACTAGCAAAATGAATATTTTAAAATTGAGTAAAACAGTAACGGGTATCTTATAGTCGCGGCACTCGACTATAGCGTTTCCTCTTGTTTTTGTTTTGATTTCGCACCATTTACCAGACAGTGCGATTCGGTAATATAGAGGCGGCAGTTTCAGATTTGTTTTATTAATCTTAACTCAATTCGTAAACTAAATTACACAAAAGGAGAAAGAGAAATGCTTTTGTATCCCTTAAAATGGATATTAAAAATGTACCATACAAGCAAATTTTACTCGTTAAAAAAATATTACAATTAAATTGGGAAATTTTAGTTTCGTTCTTATTCACAATGCAAATCATTAATTGATAACTATAATTTGTTTGCATAAACGAGAGAATCACCACAATACAAACTCGTTTAGAACTCACATAAAATATTGCGTCTGCCTTAGAATTTTGTTACGCACTGTGGAAACATTCTGATGTTAAATGAAAAATAAAAGTTCAAGAATACTCTCGGTTGCTCGACCAGGTTTGACCAGCTATTCGCTTCATTTTGGGGCAGAAGAACTGGGTATGCTTCTGCTTCCTGCTAGAACATGTTTCACCACTTGCTTTGCTGTTTTTAATTATTGCTTCCAACGTAATAGATATCATCGTGATTCGGGGTCATCTCAAGCAGTAGTCATCGAACCTTCGTCCCCTGAAGTTTGGCTTAATTTATAGCAATAAACATATTCTCTATAAATCTACCACCGTAACGTGCGCTGTAATTATTCCAGGGTCCGACCACTGGGTATGCTGTTCCTGGGGTTCCTGGGCTTTTGGATCTACTGGACTCGTTGTAGCTTCCGGATTGTTCTTACGGACGAGTTGCGCGGCAAGATCAACGCCTGGCAGCAAAGGATCGACGACTGGCGTCACAGCAGCCCCAGCATGTTCTGCTTGGCCAGCAGTGGCTGCTTGGGCACCCTCGCGGTGCTTGGACACCTTATCTCCGGCTCTATCCTGGTTCTGACAATCCTGGTCGTCTCCGCCCTAGTCTCCACCAAATACAACTTTAAGCTGCTGAAGATTGAGCACAAGGGTGAGTGGTCTCACATCTCATTGCAAGCCTTAGCACTTTAGAGGTATATTAATTATAGATATTAGTTATGGGACTTACTTGGCTTAGATTTGGACAAGTATTCAAACCCAAAAATGTCATTCTTGTACATGTATGTAAATATTTTTAATTTATTTGAAGAAAACCTTTCCAAGGCTAAAAGTTCAGAACATCTTTTACGAAAACTAAACAAAAACTTAAAAATATATATATATATATATGTATCATTAGGAACTATCTATACAAAATACCTTTTAGTAATACAAAAATATTTCAAACTAAGGGGCTTTAAAATATATACGTTTATACTTTTAAGCTATTTAACTGATTGAGTTTATTAAAAGTATAAACTAGTTGGCAATGTTCGGTTGAAGAACAAATAGGAACGCTGTAATCGAGTACTTCGACTATAAGATACCCGTCATTCATGTAAGAAATACGAAAATGAATCAGTTGCCATAATATTACGCAATATATTAGGTCGTCAAAAAAGTCTTGCGGTATTTTCTTTTTAGTTTTAATTTTATTTAATTTTTTAATTTTTTTTTTAAATTTTCAATTATTCATAAAATTGGTTACAATAATGCGATTCAAGTCAAATATGCGCCGTTTTGTTCGATGACGCGTTCCCAATGAGGTGCCAACTTCATAATGCCCCTCTCATAGAAGCTCGCTTCGCAAAAAACTCGGAATTTTCACAGGACTCTGTTGTAGCCAACTTCAGACTACCAAGCGCGTTCGCCATGGACAGAAACAGGTGGTAATCACTTGGTGCGAGATCCGGACTATACGGTGGATGCAAAAGAACCTCCCATCCGAGCTCCCGCAGCTTCTGGCGCGTCACTAAAGATGTGTGTGGCCTGGCGTTGTCCTGGTGGAAGACAATTCGGCCTCTGTTGATCAAAGATGGCCTCTTCTGCATGAGTGCTGTCTTCAAGCGGTCCAGTTGTTGGCAGTACAGGTCCGAATTGAGCGTTTGGCCATAGGGGAGCAGCTCATAGTGGATTATTCCCTGCCAATCACATAGAAGAACCTTCCTGGCCGTCAATCCAGGCTTGGCCACCGTCTGGGCCGCTTCACCGATTTTCGACCACGACCGTTTGCGACTTACGTTATCGTAAGTGACCCACTTTTCATCGCCAGTCACCATACTCTTCAAAAACGGGTCGATTTTGTTGCGATTTAGAAGCGATTCGCCCAATTCAGCGATTTTATCGCAATTTTCGACGACAGGCCTTCCGGAGCTTGGCGCATCTTCGACCACCTCTACACCAGAACGAAAACGTTGATACCATCGTTGGGCGGTAGAAATAGAAACTGTATCGGGTCCATAAACTGCACAAATTTTATTGGCGGCTTGAGATGCATTTTTGCCTTTATCGTAGTAGTACTGTAAAATATGCCGTATTTTCTCTTTATTTTGCTTCAAGATTGCGACGTTATAACTCACGAACGACTTAAAAGAAAAGACAATCAAACACGTGTTAGCGCGTGAAATGAGCTTTCCAAAAAGGTATAGTATAATCTGATGCGACAAATAAAACAAGAACTACGCGCCAACTAGCGAAAATACCGCAAGTCTTTTTTGCCAACCTAATATAGCGACCAGTATTGATAAATCCATATATAGGACCATATTCTTCAACTGGGGATGATCATTTTAAATATTATGCTGGTACTTACGAACAAAGTCCGAATCAAAAATAACGTTTGTTATTTTCAAGATTCTACTAGAATTTCGAGATAGAAAGCTGAAGGTAGTAATCCTGGTCAGAGTTATAAATACATATGTATATATTTTATAGAGTTGGTAACACTGCCTTCTACCTGTTAACTTAAAAGCACCTCAAACCTTAAATACGGACTAAAAACTAAAATTCATTGAATTGAAACTTAACAAATTTCTTCTGTATTTTGCAGACTTCCAATGGTCTGAGACGCTTAATTATAACAACTTGGAGGCCGAGGCAGAAGACGAGTTTCTGCCTGACGTGAACGAGTCGAATATTTTTGTGCTGGAACGGGCCAGTGATGTGGCCACTATCAGTTCGCCCACCGATGCAAATGACGAAGATGATGATGAGCGTAGCGACGATATACCTTCGGAGCTGCTCATTCCAGACGTGATACCCGAGATCGATGAGCACTCCACCGACGAGGAAGATGAGCTTGCCCCATTGGCGGCCAAGAAGCAGGCTAAACAGCTGGAGCAGATACCCAAAGAGGATGACGATATGAACTTCCGGAAGGGCCACTTCAAACGGGACTCTTCACTGTCCACTACGTCCTCCTCATCAGAGGAAAGCCTGTCTAAGGGGTTGCTTTTCCCCGATCACACCACCCTAGATGCTAGTGGCAACACTCAGTTGAGCCAGATAGCCGCTGGATCGGATCCCGCCGGAGAGCTTGTGGCACTGGCCGTGAAATCACAAACTCGAGCACTTCTAGCCAACAGCGGGAAGCTTCTACCCAGCCTTGTTTCTGGCCTGGTGCAGTGGGGGGTGGGGGGTGCTGCCATACCCAGTTCCGGGGAAGATGCTACGGATACGAGTCGGGACCGCGAGCAGCAGCGCATTGTCACCGCCTTGGATTCGTCGGATGAGAGCGATTTTGAGATACTTGAGACCGATGACTTCAAGTAAAACTTGGGTCGAATCGCAGATCAGTCCGATTTGTCGAATTATAAAGCTATTACCTTAACATACGCATTGCATAAACACAGAACACAGACTACTTGGACAATGGAAAGAATCTATTTTCCCTAGTGGGGATCAGTTATATATTTTGCTAAAAACTAGTGCTATATATAACCTAAAGTAATCTTCCAAAATTACCATAAAGTTAAGCCTAAAGTTATATTTTTTCGTGTTGTTTCTTTGTACATTTTATATTACGTTATGCTTATTCCTGTTTTACTGTATGGCTCTAGTTTATATTTCTCCTGTTGTGTTTGTACACAGACCACAGAAACAATAACGAGCGACGACATGCAACATGTACATATATTGTAGAAACACTCACCTATATGAATGGCTCATAGAGCTGTCGCTGTGAGGGCGTCAAGCTACTTAATCTGAATCCAAATTAAAAGTAAAGTATAAAAACAAAAAAAAATCAAAAATATGAAGATATATATCGGTGCTATATCCTTCGATTCATATGCCATATAACGTGCACAAATTAAAATAAAATAAATACAAGTTAGAAGACGCTATCGTTTCACTCACGACGCCCGTCGCCGACCACCACTGTACGTTGTATTGCATAACTGAAACATGAAATTCACTTTTTTTTTGTGTTCTTATTATTTGCGTTATGTATTTTAAGTTGTAATTAAATTTGCAAAACAAAACTAAATGTGATTTTGTAAAAACAAAAGAAACTAAAATAAAAATCAAGAAGACCTCGAATGGCGATCTCAACTGTTGTCAACTGTCTAAGGACTGAGTTTCAGTTTCTGATTTTTTAGTGCCTAGTTCGTTTGGAAAAGCTTCCAGTTTATCATCCGTCTGCCTTAGGATTTGAGACGGCTCGCCATCCTGATCTTTCGTCTCCTTTCTATTGGTGTTTTTCGCCTTTGCACCCTTACGTGTGGGAATCGTATCCAAAATGGCCGAGGTCCAATCCTGTCCTGCAGCAACTTTGGTCAGTAGCTCAAAGACTAGAATAAAAACAGTTATATTTACAGGAATAAACAAATTCAAAGAACGTTTTAATAGATTTTCTTTTTTGTTATTATTAAAACAAGGTATTATTTGTCATTTTTTCGTGTAACCAACGATTACACTTTTTTAAGGTCTTCCTTTTTGCACGTGGATAAATTATTTATTTTTTTTTTATTGAACTCAGAAATACATTCATACATACATACGTATTCTAAAATGGGTTATCAGAAAAAAAAAACTTGTTTACTCGAAATATGTGCAAGCTTGAAAGGCCTTAGTACAAAATACTACCATATAGAATAAAAGTAACAAAAAGCGACCACATATATTTTGAAAATATAAATAAATAATAATAAATTGAAACATTAGAGAAACAAGAAGAAATTCTGTAGTCGAAGCTTAAAATATATAAAAATATATATATATATATAAATATATATATTTAAACCTAAAAAACTAACAAATCCGTGGGCTTTACATGTGTAACTATGCTATTTGAAGTCAGCTGCTCAACCTTTGAACCAAACCTTTGCGACCCCTATAGTCAGCAAGCTTAGTCTTATAGTTCTTAAAATCATAGCAATTTTACGTCTGTACGTAAAAAAAAATTGGAAAATTTATTTTTCTACCGGTTAGATACTTATAAATGAATATAGTATACCCTTTTAGTGGAAAAAATATAAGCAATGTAGCTGTTTGAGCCAGAATTTCACTTTGTATTCTATTTAAAATTATTTCATAAATGAATAAGACATTGCATATCTAATGAAAGTGAGTAATGAGTAATCAAATATCAATTGTTCAGAGTTAGTTTTTTAAAATCATCGCTTTTAATCTCGGTGAACTTTTATCGATTGACCTCGAATACCCAAATATCACAAATTAAGGGCTTTAAGAATTTTATAGAGAACTTGTTAGGATAGTGCTGTCTCAAGCTAGTATGTTTTTAATATATTGATTAATGGTCCCAAAAAGTTAACTAAATGTCAAAAAAGTCAAATCTAGAAGTTTTAAGTTCTTTTAATGCCCAAACGTAGTTCAAATGTTATAGACTGCAGAATAAATAAAATACAAATTATTTGTAACATATTCAGTGGCTCCAAGCTTATTTCGTGCAAGAATAAATCGAAGTTTAAATTTGATACAAGCTTATTTCGTGCAAGCACTTTAATGGCAAATAACTCTAAACTAAGATTTTTAAATCCATTTTTTTCTTAACACTAGTAAAAATATATTAACAAAAGTATATTTATAAGTTTTCGAGGCTGGGGGCACCCAAAATTACGGTTTAACGAAGATTTTCAACTATGGCGCCACGAACAACTATTGAGCAAAGCGAATTTGCACCAAGCCTGGGGTTTTCCTTCACTTTAAGGACAATACGTCTCTCTTCGTGGTCATTAAAAATTTTGTTCCGATTTCCGATGCCACCCGATTTTCGCGAAAAACCCTTTGGGTTATGTATGGGTTTGTACTAGGGATTGAGGCAACAATTTCCTGGGTTTTCCCATCCTTAAAATGTTTAAGGACTAATTCGCTTTGCTCGATAGTTGTTCGTGGCGCCATAGTTGAAAATCCTCGTTAAACCTAAATTTTTGGGTGCCCCCAGCCTCGAAAACCTATAAATATACTTTTCTTAATATATTTTTTCTAGTATTAAGAAACAAAAATGGATTTAAAAGTCGTAGTTTAGAGTTATTTACCATTAAAGTGCTTTCACGAAATAAGCTTGTGCGTCAGAATTGCCCAATTTTTTAGTTTTTGTAAGAAAAATTCTTTTGTTTTATAAATTAGTAAAAACCTTGGTTATAATTTTAATATGCGCCATTCTTAACATTACTGCGTTTAAATTTTGATATTTTTGCTGGTTTAGTAGCAGTATCAAATTTAAAATTCGATTTATTCTTGCACAAAATAAGCTTGGAGCCACTGTAATATAGTAATAAAGTTTCCAAAATAGATAGATGGACGGATAAACGGACATTGCTAAATTGTCGATCAACAATAATCATTATACATTTATAGAGTCGGAAATTCTTCCTTCTACCTGAAACGTACATACTTTTAAAGGAATACATTATATCCAATGTCAAAGTGATCCCTGCATAACTTTGCGTTCAGAAGTTTAGTAAAAACTAGAAAAAACCATTTGTTTGGGGTAATTACTCACCATGGTAGGTACTGAGTACGGCCCTTGTCTTCATGTCCACGTGCTCACTGAGCGGCAGGCGGGCGGTGGCTATGCCCGATTTCGTGGCCCTCGAGTGGCACAGCCCTTTAAAGTGATTGTGGTCTACCAGGCCGCCGATGACATAGGTGCAGCTGGGCAGTAGTTTGTCTAGTACTTGGTCCGACTCGCAGGTAAGGTACACTAGTTGACTGGTGTCAAAGACGTCGGAGTGCGAACGATCAAAGTGGTACTCCACGTTCCAGTTCTCCCAGCCGTCGTTCTTTTTAAAAGACTCGTGGATGTGTCCGTTACGCCGAATTCCCGTGAAGTGGAGCTTACTTGGCTTTGCACTTCGTCGATTGATGGTGTAGATTCTAAGGCATTGTTTCACGCATTTAGCAATATCCCGCTCCTGCATCAGATCGTCGTAGTTCAGATCAATAGCAACGGAAATTCCGGAATCTTCGCCGTCCGCCTGGCGTTTTTTTAGCTCCTTGCGGGAAGGTCCTTTCCGGATTGGCAGACCCTGCGCCTTGGCCTCTCGACGCTTCTGCTTTTTCTTCTCACGCTCCCTTTCGCGTCGTAACTTTCGGAGTTCAGCAAACTCCTGCAGCTTGCGTTGCTTTTTCAGCTGATTTTTGCTTAGCGGTGTACCAGGTGTAGTTCCCGGGCAATTGGTCAAGCTGAGCACCGCCTGAGGCACCTCCTGCAGTGGACTATCCGCCATGTTCATTAATTATTCTTGTAAATAGAATTTTAAGAAGTTCTAATATCTCATCTGAAACAGCTGACTTGACAGTGTTTTCAGCATGCCGCGTTTAACAGCCCCGCATTGCGTTTTAACAGAACCCAATTACGCGGGCAACATTTTAGCTTTTTAAAACACAAATCTAGCTATTGGCCGGCTTATAATATATGGTTTCTATAGCATAACATAAGCTTTAGAACCCGATCTGTGTCTACTCATATAATTTTTTAATATCATATTTTAAATATCGAATAGTATTATAAAAATAACCACACAGGCTTTTCCAAACTGCATTTAGCTTAGTCTTGCCCCTATTATTTTTAATGAAAAAACGTGCTCAAAAAAATATTTATTATGTAAGTATATATGAGTTAGCTTATAATTAATTTTATATTTTACTCACAAACTTGTCAGATCAATAAATAATTTAACAGTTGTATTGGGTGCAATAAATGTTTATATTACATTTAAAAACACATAATGACAACGTACATATAGGACACGGATTAAGTCCCTAACAAATAATTGGATGGAAATGAATATTTGGTCAAGGGAACTTATCGTGCCATCTCGCTACTTTTTGCGATTTCTTTTGGGATTATTTTTGTGAACGCTCTGCAGACTGCAGAATCTTTCGCAGTATGATTTACATTTTCGTTTACATATTATAGCGTACATTATTTATATAAGAGCATTCTGTACCTACTATAATAATAATAATAATTTCAAAAACTTACCCTCTTACAAAATCTTTTTAAAATGCAGAGATCTGAAGTCGAGGTAGAAAGTTACAGTCAGCTACAACTATCAACTGTCACCAGCCCTGCTACTTAACAGTGCTGTATCGATAACATCTCTGGTATCTCGATAACGTCAGGAGGCCAGCTAAAATTTCAGGTGAAATTGCGTTGGGCCGGCTCTGCGTAGGAACGTGAGTGTGGGTGAGTCGAACGGAGGCGGGCGAATCAACTGGTAAATCCTGATCCGCTCCAGCTGCCAGAATACCACAATTCTCGTAAGGGAACCGAACCCGCGCAGTGCACCACACTTTTCCTGATATCTTTTCCGCAGAGGATTTGCAAATTTCATCCAAATCATGGCAACCGTGGCTCTTCTTGCGCGACATCGTCTGGTCGCCTGCTCCTTGCGACTATTAACTAGCGCCCACTCCAGGGGATTGACTGCGATGGTCGGAACTGAGAAAAGAAGTGTTCCCAGCGATTCCTGGACTCTAAAAAGTCGCCGAATTCGGCTGCTTCCCACCGTCACAATTCGATTCAACCACAAGACGGCAAACCCTGCAGCGACAGCACCCGCTCCATCTCCTGCGGCTAACGACTCCTCTGTAGGCAATAAGGACTTAAAGGCAACCAGCACCACGTCGAGTGAACTCTTTGGTGAGGCGGCCAACATGGGTCTGTTCGCCAAGTTTAAGCACATGTACAAACAGTACTGGTACGTGCTAATTCCGGTACACGTTTTTACGTCGGTGGGCTGGTTCGGAGGCTTCTACTACCTGTCCAAGAGGTGGGTTCTCGCCAGCAGCTGTTTTTTTCAATCGAATTTCAATATAAATCCCTTGTTTTGCAGTGGCGTCGATGTACCTGCTCTGCTGCAGTACGTCCACTTAAGCGAGAACATAATCGAAAAAGTGCAGGGTTCGGATATGGGACACTATGCTATAGCATACCTCTGCTATAAAGTGGCTACTCCCCTACGCTATGCACTAACTTTGGGTAAGGCTTAGAGTTTTGCTATATACAAAGTCATAATTAGTGTAACTAGTGTTCTGCTTACGAAATATGTTTTCTCTATCCGGATTTGGTTTTTAAAAATTCTGAATTTTTTGAAAAATAAAGCGCATAATATCAATACACAAATTAACAAAATCATAAATTCAATTTGATTAATAGATAGATCATGCAGTTGTAAATAGTATTATAACAAAATAATGACGTAAACTTAAATTACATTATCAGTGTTACTATTTTTATGATATCGAAGGTATTGGGTATTGTTTCATAACTTCGAAGCTCTAGGAATAGTATTTATGAATGTTAATACGTCATCTTTTTCAGGATGTACCACCGTGTCCATAAAGTATCTGGTGCAGCATGGTTATATCAAGCCCATGCCTACTAAAAGTGAGCTGATCAAAATGTACGAGGACAAGAAGGCCACGCGAGCAAGTGCCAAGGCGGACAAGGCCGAGAAGGACGAGAGCAAATGATCCTTAGCCACGGGCGAGGACGCTACCAATTCGGCAGTGTCGTGCCCGTTGCTACAGTCGCAAGATCCTAAACCGCCGTCGTCGCTGCTTTCATTGTTAATGCCCTCTAGCATTGGTAATCCGCAACGATCGAACACCGGCGAGCGCCGTGAAATTGACCTGTTGTCTTTTTTGTTAAATTGCTGTCGCTCTTGCTGGTATTGATGCTCAACGAAACTAACTCTTGTCCGGAATAACAGTCGATCACATAAGCAGCAACCGCCGCACTGAGTTATCTGTAAAGATTCGCCCCATACCCACAATACCACCCAGCACACGGATTCAGACACAGATACACCCTTGAAGCTGCATATTCAATTTGCCTATCCACTCGGTTGCAGTTACGAAATCGATGGACTTCTTTAAAAAAAAAAAACGGTTACATAATACACGAAGAAGAAAAAGACATAGCCCCAGGACATAGAGTTCAGTAGTAGTTCTTTATAGAAATGTTTTGTAAATTTGAGAAATTTGTCGCAAAAAAATTATTATTATTATTAAATTAAAAAAATAATAAAAAACATAGGCCTCAGTTCAATGGACAAGGATCCAAATTGTTGAAATATGTTTTTTTTATTTATTAAGTATTGTTTAAGTCTTACTGACTATATATTATCATAACAATAATGAAATGGCTATGGTTTTAAAACTGTTTCGATAGATTTCATTTAATAGAAAAATTTGTGAAGCAGCAGGATTAAAAATTAAATATAAAGATTTCATAACGCAGATGTTGCAGAGGTTGCTTATTTTTTTTTCAATTTTATTTATAGCAAAGTAATACAGTTCCTTACCTTTGATATGACCCATGATATCAACGCCGAAATAAAACAATCTTAGAGTGATTCGTTTTTCAATTTAATTTTTGCATATGTTTTTCCTTTTTTTCTCATTGTTTTTTATTTGGATTTTCTTTAACGTTAGTAAAATATCCAACAATTATAATTGAAATTAATAGTTCAAATTAAACGTTTATTTTGTTTACAAATAAATAAGTAATGTGTCTTGTTCGTTTTTATTATATCTCATCACAATTTAAGTGATGTGTGGGTATAGTTGTAGACTTTCTATTGCTTTTTTGTGGCGAAAACGAGCTCCTTATGTACACATACTGTTTCGTTTGGTGTAAGTCTGTGTTTGGAGGTGTCTGTGATTGTTATATATCATATACATAAATACAATAAATAAATAATTTACAATATATATTATATAAACAAAATAGGCAACAAAATATATATATATAGGAAGTATAAGAGGGATTTCTGGGGTGATGAAAAAACGTTCGGCTTAATCTACAAAATACACATAAAATCAAACAAAACATTGTTTCGTTAAGTAGCTCTCATACATGTTTTTAGACTAGTTTTGGTAGCCTTTTGCTAGCCAAACAAAAGAAAAATTTTATTAACTTTAAACGAACTTCGTATCGGTAATTTGTTCCCGGGAAATTCTCTCCTACTTGTTGGTGTCAGAGGAATTTCCAATTTTAATGGACTGGTAAGTTAAGCTGATTGGTTGGTATATTGACTAAAGGATAACAATGGTTTTTTGGTGTTGATGATGATCGTTTCAATTTTAATTAATAAATTTTACTACTAGCATTTATCATAAGTACGTTTCCACAATGCAGATTATAGCTTTACATTGCGTCCCTCTTTACTCAATTTATACCTTATTTATCGTTTAATATTATCTCTTATTAGTTTCTTAAAAGCCGTTTCTTTTAGCTAGTGTTTTTCTTGTGGTGCGATTGCGGTTTGTTTGGTTTTAATCGTCTGCAGTTTGAAATATTTATTGCTGTTATATTTGCTTTGTATCTGTTATGAAATATATTGCACAATACGAATTTAATTTTATAATTAGTTGTTCTCTTCCCACGTTTAATTTGTTTATTATACACACAACCACAGGACATTTTTCTTCGGCAAACCGACTGAAAGTAGGACAGGGGTAGAACGATAGGCGAATAACAGATAGAGAGTAGGTCATGCAAATTAAAAATTTAGTTAAAAAAAAACACTTAAAAAGAGAAATTTTGAATCATTAATTAGTTTGTGGAGGTGATTGCCTTACGTATCCCTATAAAAAACATTCTGTCAATATATATTAGTAAGTAGTATTGCATTTAACCTGGGGCTTGAGGTTTTTTGGTTTGCCGAGTTGTTAAAGCACAGATTCATTGTTTTCCGTCAGAGTTTTATTTTGCTGTTTTCTTGTTTTTTTTTTTTTATCCATCGAAGTTCGTTTTTATATATGTATGTACATTCATATTCATTCATGTTTTGTATACACTTCTGTTTAGTTTTTCCATTTTTGTTTTGGTTTCGCTATAAGTTAAAGAGTTGGTTTTGCTTTGCTTCACGTTGAGTTAAATTAATTAAATTTGTTTGTATGCAATTCTACGAAGCGTTTTTAAGAGTTCGTTTGTTGGTTGTTCCATTTCTTATCGGTCTCATCCCGTTCCTATGGTTATAGTGGTTGCAATCCCGATTTGAGAAGCGCGCTAGAAGATCTGGAACTTCAATCTCCCCGACACTTCACACCTTAAGTTGCCGTAGAGCTCAGATCGGGCCCTACGCACGCTCGTAGAAAAGAATATAGGCACTGGATGAAACGAGATGGTTTTCAGACAAGGCATCGCTGACGCTGCGGAATAAGGAGATGTCTCATTTAAAAGGTTACAGAGGTTTAATTCTATTCAATTTAAACTATTTAGTTAAGGTTTCAAAATGAATACATTAAGTGCAACGTCTCAAAACTCGCAGGGAAAAACTCAAAATCATTAGACGATTAGTGACTTATTAATTACATTCCCTGTTATGACATTCCGTCGAAAGCCTATTATATTTATAAACCCTTGGGCAAACCAGCTTCTGTAATGCGGAATACGAGTATACTGGACTTACATATTATCATTAAACTCGTGCCACTTTCGGGAGGCGGGATGCTTGCAAAGGGCAACATAATGACCGCCAGCCGTTGAACCTGTTGAATTAATTGAATTAATAACTACCAATTTTAAAACAAATTATATAACTGGAACTCACCCATGTGGTTGGATATCGCATAGAGCGAGTAATGAACATTCGAGTTGGAGTTGGCGCCATAGGAACCCATGTTTAGCTCGCTGTCCGATGTGGGGAACTCGACAATGTTAGACAGTTTGCTCCAACGCGTCTCCGAAAAGCGTTTTAGGTCTGTAAATTACATATTTTTATTATTTTGGAGCATATTTTACACTAAAGACTAAAACCTATCACTATCACTGACCGAGGCGGGGCTGACATAAACCTATGTTATGTTGTGGAAGTAGATAAAAATATCTAAGGCATGTATGCCTTGGATGTTGCGCCTTTTCTGGAAATTATGATTTTCCAACCGGTTGGCTAGATCGACTTGGTTAGTGATCCTGATCAAGAAATATTTAATCACTTCCTAACTCTTACAATTTCCGTCATTCATCATACGGCCTTAGTAAGATCGATTCGCCTAATGCCCTTGATCAGGAATATATATATAAGTTCGGAAACGCTTCATCCTACATATTACGCACTTATCGCCATGAACGGGCGTCCATAAATATACGCATATAAAATATGACATTTTTTCCTGGATATGTAGCAAATATAATAGTTTGCCAACAGATACAAAAACAAATAGGCTACAATGCAACACGTCGCGTTGATAATTACGTAATCAAGCAACTGGTAAATAGTGATAAGAGACTTACGTATAACAAGATATTTTGGGAAACGCTGTATAGTGAAGCTTTTGGTGCATTTCCGACGCGTCTTGCACTTGGCGCACGTGGGCATTTCATCGCCGTCAAGGACCTCCTCGCGTATAAAGAGGTCAAGGCAGGCCTCCAGCTTGCAGCGCGAAGAGGACGGTAGTGGTACGCTTAGGTCCCAGAACGGATCGAAGGTGACGCTGGTGTTGCCGCAGGTAGTGCATTTAAGCGTGCTCTTAAGCTGACCGACGAATAGGTCGCGGACCAACGAATTCTCGTGCCGTGTGTACCACTCCCAGGTCAAATCCGCTTTTTTATTGTCACTTTGGAGGTTTAAGCATTTTTCGGATAAGTTGATAGTGAATAGATACGAATTAATAAATACCCACCTGAGATTATCGTCAATATTAAGCGTCTCACCCTTGACGCCTGAGTTGAGGGCCGAGTGCAGCGAGTCGAGAAAGAAACGTAGGAACTCCTGCGCATCCTGTTGGTTATAGTCGCTATACATGCGGTGCTTTGTCGAGAAGGCTCGCTTCAGCTCCATGGGTGTTACCGTGTGTACATTCGAGGTCCACATCTCCTGGATGAGTTTGGCAAATTCTAATAGACACAAAGAGAGCTTTCAAATAAAATATAGCGATCGTGTGAAATAAAATTTACCGTGGAGTATCTGCTGATCCTTGGTGGAGGACGAGCGGGAGCCGTGGTGCGACCGCAAGAAGCGGGTCAACTCCTGGGTATGGCTTAGACACTGTATAACCGAGTTCATAAAGCAAGTGTTCCCAATGTTTCGCAGTCCGCACAGACCTGTGGATTGGCATTAAAAAAAAACAACTCGGATTAATTGCAATGAAAAGAGTCCGGTAAACCCAAGAACACTACTCCCCAATTGAGATGCGTGGGCTTGCATTCGCTAAGGAGAGGATCTACCACCCATGCCCTGTCATCAGTCTTCTATTGACTTCGTGTTAATATTCCTTTTAAAGTTTTATTTTATTTCAGCTTTCACGGAGAATTTGAATAGACTTTAAAAGAAATGGCAATGTCTAGCTAGTTGTTTTGAAATAAATAAAAATAAAAAAATAATTTCCACAAGTTCCTCCTATTTAATGATATAGGGTACGAAACGAAAGATTGTGTGCACGAAATTCTGTACATAAATGTCTAATTTGAGACCTTTTCAATTTGATGCGTATTCGGTTTAAAGTGTAATTTCCATTTGTATGGATAATCAGTAAATAACTTGGGTACATAAAATTGGGGCACCCACCTTCGGACTTTTCATCCCGCGACGAGGAGGCGCTTTTGTAGCCATCATCCGAATTGTGCTTCAGGGACGACGAATTAAGGGCAGAGGAGGTGCTGGCGATGCTACGGCTGGTGCCGCTCTCCCGGTCCCGATCCCAGTAGCGACTCGACGTGGGCGTCATGGGCGGCAAAACACTTCTGGCACTGCTGCTAACGCCAGTGCCGCTCCTCGCCGCCGTCTGCACAACAGAGAAAACATTAAATGTGAGTATTATTCGATTCTTTATGTAGATTCCCGAACTCAAATAGCATCCTAGCGTATCATTTCCAGTGATGGGGGTTTTTTGAGTACCTCTTACATTTATTTTAATATATACTTTAAAGTTTTTACTTTATTTAACAGAATTTTTAGTCTATAATTGAAAACTCGGCAAAAAACTAAAAATTCAATTTTCTTAAAATTGCTCAAAAAGTATTGTTCTGAATCTAAGAATAAAACTGCCAAATCAATTTACAAAATAAAGTATTGGAGCCTTTCTTCCGAAAATATATTTGAAAATAGTAAAGTACATAGAAGTAACAGAGTAGACACTATTTTATAAGGACTTCCTCAATATTTTCTTTAGAATTAATAAAGTATAGATATATAAAATTTTTTTTTAATTTGTCATCGCTAATATATATATATTACTATATTATATAGATTAGCTTTAACAATACTTTTGAAATAATCAATTTTCATGATTTGAAACTTTCCATCAATGATAGCCTCAAAAGCTGCGCATTGGTTCGGGGGGACATATTAATCGTTAGTATAAGGGAAAATTTCAGTAAATTAATCAATGCAACTAGCAATTAAACGGTTTGAGACTTAAGAAAATATAATAATGTGTTCCATAATGCAGATGAAGAGTGAGACAGCGGCAGCGATTAAAGAACAGCATGCATAGGATAACACAATAATAACGAAAAAGTATGTGGGGTGTGGGCTGAATCCAAAATATCAATGGAATAAATATACTTTCTAGCTACAAATTGTTGTCGAAATTTTGGTTGCTTGATCTTGCCAAGTGCAAGATATTGATGTATCATAATAATATATTTCAGAAGTAAACGAAATGGAGACAGTAATTTAAACTAAACTGAACTGATCGCTGTCCCGGCCAAGGACCGACTTACACTATCGCTGACGGAACTTTGGGCTGTGGCGGTGACTGTGGCGACGGAAGACGTGGCTGGTGTTTGTGTTGCTGTTCCACTGACAGCATTAGGTGTTTCGGCTATCGTTGAATCTTTGTTTACCTTGATGGCTATGGGTTGGCTTTCGCATTCGACTGACTGCCGGCTGTTGTGGGATCCTCTCAGGTTCAACTTGTTAATAGGCGAAACTACTGCCGTAACGCCCCCTCCACCAATTGGGCCTCCCACCATAGACGGTGCCGCCACCGGCGTGCTAACATTATTCATTGTTGCTGTTGTCCGATAGGCTGCTCTAGTCAGGGAACTACTATACCCTGCCGCCACTCTAATGTTTTCCAGGTCGCTGCTGTAGCGCTGCTGCAGATTGCCGCTGCTCCCACCTGCCTGTGATGAATTATTGCTACGATTAGTTCCAGCTCCAACTCCTGAACCTGACCTTGTAACACTGCCAGATACTATTCCCGCTCCAGAGCACGGAGTTTGCCTCTTTTGTCCACTAAGATTGTTAAACTTCTCTATGGAGGCTTTGATACTCAACGAATCAATACCATAACGCCTGGCATTGCTAGTGTTCCTGCTGTCCGGATTCACCTCGCCATTAATCTGCCTACAGAGACCACCGCTAAACTTTTCATAGGTGCTAGCGAAATTCGAGTGGGCCGAGGCAATAATCGTAGACTTGGGTCGCGGATAGCGATGGCCGGCTGACTTGGAACTGACAGGTTGCTTGGTTTGCTCCTGTTGCTGGGCCTGATTTGAGTAATGTCGTAACTGCAACGGCGGTGTGATTGGCTTGAAGTAACAAATGCTCGCCTTGGTTGATGACCCGCCTCCAGGACCAGTGGTCGGAGGATCATCGCTGTCAATGTAGGTAATATCATCGTGTTGCTGTTGCTGGCGTTGCATGTTGTTATTTCCACCGTTGTTAAGGTTGCTGATGTTGCTGCTGTTGATATTATTATTATTACTGCTATGGCCATTCATCATAGCTGCTCCAGCGGATGATTGGTTGTTATTGAGCGGCTTCAGCTTGCCGCAGCTCCTGGTAGACGTAGAAGTTGCAGTTCCTGCTGCTGGCGTAGAGCGTGCACTGAGCTTAAGCACTCCGTTGCTGGTGTTATTGGTAGTGTTCCTGCTGCTCGTGTTGGTGGTGCTACTGCTAATGGTATTTGGTTGCTGGTTGCCATTGAACATGGGCGTGCGTCGCATATTAACCAGCGTTGGTGCCCGGATTCCGTTGTGGCGGTGATTATTGTTCCTTGAATCCTCACCAGCTCGACAACGCTTCTGCGGTTGCGACGTGGTTTTCACCTTGCTGGCTGTCACCTGGGCATGGGCCAACTCGCATTCAGCCTTTAGAAATGTGGGATCCTTGTAGCTGGACACTAGAAAGTAACGTTGATTGGCTGTCCGCACCGGATTGTTGGGTCCTCCTCTTGCTCCAGTCGATCCCCCTGATGATGATACTTCTTTTGCACCTTCTCCAGGTGTTGCTACTATAGATGATGTTGCCGACTGCAATTTGGACGCCTGTGGAATCTTGTGGAATCCTCTGGTCTTCTTAATGTCTAACATCATTCGACGAGATGGTCACTGCACTTTCTCTTTCTCTCAGCTACAGTTGCTCCTCTTCTGGTTTTGGTTTTAAAGCGTTTATTTTTGTTGCCTGCCTAAGGTTCAGTGGATACGAGATTTTATGTTGTGTTTGCCTGTTTCCTCGCCGCCTGCCAGGAATAAACTAATGTCGACTAACCGGATAATCCTGTTCAGTTCCACACTCTATCCTAAGCAAATGGTTATTTGGATGATTTTATGATGGTTTGTAGGGAATTTAATTTAGTTAGGAGTTAGCCTGGCGTTTAGTTGGACTTGGTTTTTTAGTTTAGGTTAAGTTAGAAGGGTCGCGCAATCTGCAAGAGTTTTAGCTAAAAATACATAGAAATGTAAACTTTATTAAATGATCGGCTGTTGCTTGGCTGACTTACTAACACAGAGGTTGTGAATTAAAATAAAAATGAGGTTATGTTGGGTTAGTGATGGGGTGGGGAAAATGTTAGGGGTTTTTTATTTATAATTTTTCTCGCAAACGCCATATATTTTTTTAGGTTGTGGCACATGCAATTAGTTCGTTTTTTTATGGAAGGGAGCGGCAGCACTTCTAGTCTCCGTTTAACTCTGGCCAAACTTTTTACCTTGTTGCTGTCGTTTAGCTTAAATGTGGCCGAGGTGCACACATCGGCATTGTCCGCATTATCCTGCTCAACACGTGCATCATCAGTGGTATCGTGGCTTCGATCGTAAATGGCGTTTCTTTTGGGTGAAGTCGAGAGAAGCGATAGACCATTTAATTTGACTTCAAGTCCGCCATTCGTTTCCTGTTTCTTTTGGCCATTTGTGGGCGGAGGTGGAGGTGGAGGTGGTTTCGGTGTTGGTGCTGGAGCTGCTGGTTCTACTGGTGTGGTCATGGGTATATCCTCCACCTGGTTTCGAAGTGTGGGGTTGCTGCGGAGTGTAAAAGTGGCCGTAGGCACATCGCCACTGCTGCTACTGCTGTTTATCGAGTACTTGGCCGAGCCCAACCTTCCCGTGGAAGCCGAGGAGTCCCCTCCTACATCGCTGCTATTGCTGTAGAGGCGACTATAGCGAGTGCTACTGCTTCTTGGCCTCTTCAAGTTCACCGTGCAGGTGGGTGTTGTCTCCTTGTTGCTGGCATTCTCCAGATCCGCCTCAGAATGCCCCGACCTGGAACGTGATAGTTCACAGTTGGGTTTATAGTTGGCCGGACTGTACTTTTCGTATATGTCCAATCCCGAGGTGGCCACCAAACGGGCCAGCGATGGGAATGAGGATGAGCTAGACAGCCGCTTGTTGCCATCGCCTTGAGTGTCTCTACTGCTATTACTGTTGTGGCCACCACCTCCTCCGCTTATCGGTGGCTTTTTGGCGGTATCGTGGCCTCGACGTAGACCATAGTCTTCCCTCTTGGCCGATCCGCTCAGGCTAATACCATTTGCGGTAGTTTTGGACGCTGAGTTGCGCGGTATCTTTGGGTTTCGTTTTTTTTTTTTTGGTTTTTTTTTTTCGTATTTTTGTGTTTTGATATTAAGACCCGTGGTTTTTGGCGAAACATTTACAGGTGACAATGAATTTGTGGAGCGTATTTGTTGTTTTTTTTTTTTTTTTAATTGGAGGTAGGCGGTAACGTTTAACGGTAAGCGGCAACGATAAAACATGTTTCATGTTCATGTTTTCAATGTCAAAAGTTATATAACAAAAACAAAATGTAAAGAAAAGAAACATCAATGATATGATCAATGATTGGGTTGTACACAAATGATCGGAAAGTGTTATAAACAAAATAATAGTCACAATCGCACACATTTTATTGTCGCTGAAAAATTAACGACTTTTCATTTATATAATAATTAAATTTATAAATCTAAAAAATCCAGATGCATTGATCGTGAAATATCTTTTTTGTCTGATTTTTGTTTAGTACTCCATCACTTATCATTAACGCTGTTTTATCCTCATATCTCTTGTAAATATTCTTAACATTTAATTCAGAAAAATTAAAAGAATCAGTCTTCTTTTTTTCCAACATAAATTTAGCGTTGAGATATGATGTCAAAATCGCTTTTCGCCCGAAAATGTTGTTTTTTTTTAATTAATTATACAAACAAATTTTGTAACTTAAGTTGCGTTTTCAGTGGAATGAAAATGCAGAGTCCAAAAATAGTAATTAGCGCACCAATAGAACTTTCTGCATGTACGAGGTATTGTCAAATAAAAAACAATAAACAATTTACAAACCTAAATATTTCGGATGCCAGATAATAGCCGAAGGTTATGACTGAAAGTGTGAAATGTCAAGGAAACCTACTGAATGCTTTAATTTTCCGTACCTTAAAAAAATGATATATGGAGACTTTACATTTGGTGTTCTCATTGGCATACACAGCGATAGCCCATTGCAATAACCTCGTTGCCAATTCTCAAGGGAATTACAGGAGCAGAGGGGATGACACATATTACCGTTGTTTGGTCAGTCGGGTGTTCTGTTATTTCTCATTGGAAGCGTGCCAACAAGTGGTTGGCTGGTCTGTTCAGTTCAGCTCAATTTAAGCACACCCCTTTCATTCCTGGGACTATGGGTGTGAATGTGGAATGATTGTGGAATAAGCTGTAACTGTGACTGGACAGGCGTGACTGTAACCATGGATGCAGTGGTGGATATAAAAAATACACTAGGACAAGGGCTTCATATTTAAAAAACACTTATGGTACATAAGGCTAAGAGGGGTTTAAGTGTATTTGCAGGCAGCAAATAAGATTAAAATGTAGTTCAATGTGGAGACATGTTCATATGCTAGGAGGACTCTATGTTGACCGATTTCAAGTTAATAAAGCTATCAGACTATCGACGAGACCTGTGTCATCCGTTGTAGGGAACATATAATAAACGTTTATTAACTGACGTCAGGGTCCACGTGAATCCGTGTAAGCTAAATTTGTTAATATATTACAAAGTCATAATCGGAAATCTAAACAAAACTTTAAACACAACAGTTTAAAGTTTAACGCGGTTTGTGGGCGTGGCTGGCTATTGAAAACCTTGATCTGCGCAACTAAGTCTTATAGTTCCCGATATCTCAGCGTTTATACGGATAGACAGTCATGGCTAGATCGGCACGGCATTGATCCTAATCAAGAATATATATATTCTTTATAGGGTCGAGAACGATTCCTTCTACCTGTTACATACTTTTCAACGAATACATAATATTCTATTTCATGAGTAACTATAAATAAATATATACCACCCGCAAAAGTGCAATCACAGTGCTACATCGACTATAAGTATTTTTTTTAAAGAATTGATCACATCAAAACTGGAATTGTGATTTCGTTTTAAATTAGTTTTCAAAATGATATTAAGCTCAAGCTGGAATAAAGAAATTATTTTGTTTGTCATATTCCTGGCAGTTAAATGGCTCCGATATGGCCTTTTGAAATTAAATACTACACGCCTTTGAAAAAAGATAGATTTGTAAGTGTCCATTAGAACGGACTGACGTTTAAAAATACTTTATAAATACTTTATAGGGGAGGAAACGTCTCTTTCACTGTGTTGCGTTCTGACTAAACAGGAACTGGTTTTAAAATTAAGAATTTTGTCATAGACATTTGAAGCAGCTATTTCATAGTGACCCTTCTTAGCGGTTTCCCTTGTCAGACCACGCATTTTCGCTAGATTTGACCCGAATACACACAATATTTACCCAGTGCGTGAGGGGTTGTCCATGTACATGTAGTTGGGCACGGGTGAGTGGGTGTTTATAGTTGGGTGCGGTAAGTTGTTTTGCTGCTGCACTGACAAAATTAAACTCAAGCGAAACGAAAATGCCAAAATGAAATATTCTAAATGCTGCCAAAAAGAACTAAAGTGACATTATAAGGCGCAGGAGGTCCGGGAATACAAATGGACATGAGTGAGGTTTGTGGAGTTATATTCTCGGGATTGAAGGTAAAAACCAACCAATGAATTTTAAGATGCAGATGTCAATAAAAGCTCTTGGATTGGATAAGGCCCCAAAGTTTAAAGCCTTTTATAATATGTCAAGGGTCCTAAGTTCACGACATAACTAAAAAGATAGTTTAAGATTGCGAACTTCGAAGTAATACTCTGTACTCTAACAATAAAAAAATCCTAAAATCTTAACTTTAAATCTTTTAGTCAAAAGTTGCAATAACAATAACCTGACTTACTTCACTTTATAAGAGCTAGCAATGTATAATTTTTAAAAGATATTTTATACGCCAAGCCAATTTAGAGAGCTTTCACTGTATAATAAACTAATATACAGGGTACAAAACGGATGATTTCGGGGATAGGATAGTGAGTAAAGTTATACCAAGGGCCCAGCATTCAGGATATTTAATCGTATAGAGATACAACTGAAAACCATGAGATCAGCCACCAAACTTAAGAAAATCGTATAAGATATATAAAGTGAAACTCACTCCAAATCGGCTGTAGGTAGATGAATCATAGCTGGAGCCGCTCAGATACGAGGACGTGGTGCGGTAGGCGGATGAGCTGGAGCTGGAACCACCACTCAGATACGATGGCGATGAGGTGGACCCAACGCTGTTCCTCTGCAGGTTAGAACGCGGTGCATACGAAGAGCTTGAGGAGCCGCTGTTTGAGGAATACGTCGAATACGAGATGGGATAGTAGCTGCTGCCGTATCCCGATGACGAGATGGAGCCGCCGGAAGAAGGCAGCCACTTGGATAGGCTGCTGCCGCGGTCGTAGCTGCTCGAGTAGCGAGAGTAACCGTTCGACGAAGCGCCTCCGGTGGACCGATCCACCGCACCACTGCCTGTGGTGGTGCTGCTAGAGCTGTTAATGTGGCCGCCGCTAGTGGAGTTGCCGCTATTGGTGTTGCCGCCGGAGGTGCCGGCCGACGATGTGCCGTAAAGACTACCGCTGCCCGCCGCTGACGTTGACGATCTACGCGGCGCAATTACACGCATATTAGTGGCAGCAGCGGCAGAGATTTAACCCCGGGTTCAGGATAAAATCTAGAGTGTCCTTAATGAGTTTTGTTTTCACCACTTCGTAAGGCTTAGCGGTTCCTGTTGCTTTTGCTTTTATTACTGTTCTTCGTGAGCTATCCATGGGATTTAAATTATATTAATTTTAAGTTTTATTCATTGAGGTGCATATGTACCCACGTGCGCCCCGGTATTTACATTATCATCGCCTTATTTCCCTAGGTTTAATTTATGTTGAAACTTAGTTGCTGCTTATGTACTACATCTATGACCCGTTCTTGTTGCTGCTAAGGTTGTAGGCAAATCTGAAAGAAAACAAATCGAATGGTAGATTAAACAGGCTTTTCAAAAGAAGTCCACATTTTTCTAAATAATAATAAATAATAAAAATGTGACGCCTTAGTCCAGGGCCGCAAATATTAGATACCCGTTACTACTT